TTAAGAAAACGTGGTACATATACACTGTGGAATACTAGCAGCCATAAAAAAGGATGAGTTCATGTCCTTTGTAGGGACATGGATGAAGCTGGAAACCACCATTCTGAGCAAACTATCGCAAGGACAGAAAACCAAACGCCACATGTTCTCACTCACAGGTGGAAATTGAGCAATGGGAACACTTGGACACAGGGCAGGGAACATCACACACCAGTGCCTGTCATAGTATGGGGGGGTGGGAAGGGATAGCATTAAGAGAAATACCTAATGTAAATGACGAGTTAATGGGTGCAGCACACCAACATGGCACATGTATACATATGTAACAAACCTGCATGTTGTGCACATGTACCATAGAACTTAAAGTATAATAATTTTTTAAAAAAAAGAAATGGGGAATTAGTTGGTCTGGAAATGTCTGTGTCTGGTATTACTTCATTGTATGCACCTTTTCAGGCCTCAAGTATCTGGAGAACAGATACATCGCTTACCCCACATTCCCTCTCTTCCCAAATGGACGTTCAGACCAGCTTCACAGAGAGCCCACTATCTTCAACCACATACATTACCCTCATAACCCTGGCTTCACAAAATAGCACCATCAAAGCAACCTGAAGACAAATGTTCACAATTGGTAAGAAAAGAAAAGGAAGAGAAAAAAAATGATTCCCCTAAAATAGCATCTCCCCAACCACGTCAAAGATGCAGCCAGAAATACACCCTCCCTCCTTTTAATGATTTAACAAACAGCTTCTCCTTTGCCCTGGAGAACATTTCTAAAAAACACAGGTTTGGAGTCAGCTCTCTTCACCTCACCAGGAGAGCCCAGGAGGGACACAGGCAAAGGCGGCCCAGAGTGAGGCTGCTGTCTGCTGGCTCAGAGCATGCTTCTGTGTCATGTGTCACAGAGCAGGGAGGTGGGGCATTCTCCAGGAAGTGGGAGACAGGAGTTTTGTGCATGACTTTGGGCATATTGCCTCACCCCTCTGACACAGTTTCCTAATGAATGGAGGGGCAAAGATCTACGCCTGGCCCATCACAGTTGTGTTGCAAGGAATAAATAATAAAGCTTAAGGGAACATGCTTTGAAAAATAGATAAGCACCCACTGGTTTAAAAAGAGCTCCTCTCCTTGAATTAAAGTGAACAAATGAGCAAGGTTGACTCAAGTGTTTTAAAAGATGCCAAAGAGACTCTTGTAAAGGATGGTTTAGTTTGCCCTACTTTTAAAAAATTTAATCCTCACCCAAATCCTGTGAATTAATGTTGTCGATTTTATTTAATGGAGGAGGAAACTGAGGTTACTTGGTTATTCCTTTGATGTCTCCAGTTTCGAGCAGCTGGAGTACATTGGGCAGCAAGGGGATGGGCTGCAACACTAAAGCCAAGCAGCTGGGCAGTTCTTAGGGACCAGAGAGAGGCTAATCAACAAATGAATGGGGGTCACCCAGCACTGCAGCGTGGCTGCACTCAAGCTGGGGAAGTTCTTCCAAGTTCTAGCCCACAGAAGCCAGGGCTGCTGATCAGAAGGTCTCCAACCTGCCCCCAACAAGAAAGCATGCAGGTGCCCTGTGCAGAAGGCAAAGTGGTCCCTGAGCCAAGGCCAATATGACAGGATTCTACTCATTCCCCTTCTTCCAAATGGAAGAGGAGTGAGCTTGTATGACCAACCCCATATGGGAGAAAGCCCATGTGGGCCCAGGCATCCCAAAACACACCCCGGAGGTCTTTGGGAAACCCCTGGTCTCATCCATTATTTATTGAATATCTGCTGTGTATTTATTGAGCATCTACTGAACCAGGTGCTGAGTTTCTCCAAAACACAGAATCAACTCTTTCTGCACCTTCCCCATGGCGTTCTAAGAAAGAAGGGGTTTGCAGAGAGGGACCCTCAGGCTGTAGCAGTTGGCAGAAAGCAAGTAGGAAGGTCTGGCTAGAAAGTGCTGGTCACTCCAGGTTTGAGCCCAAATCCTTGGGCTACTTGAGTGAATTATCTGTCTCTTCCAAACCCAGGAAAGCATCTTTTCAAGCTCACAGCAGTGAGGATGAAGCATCTCATCTTCGAAGATCTTAAAATCTGTGGGGACATCTGAGTCTTGTTCTGGGTTTACCTGAACTCTGAGCCCCAGGTTTGGGTTGAAATATATGGGACTCTGGGAAACTGAGCAGCAGGAGGCCTCCATGGTGCTTAGGTTGGAAGGGAGACAGCAAAGGAAGTGTGGGGAGGGCACAGATCTCTAAAATCTGCTGGGGAGACTTCAAACACTGATTATTCCATACCATCTCCCAGAGACCCTGATCCAGTGGCTGTGGAGCAGTTCCCTAGAATCTATACTGTTAGAAATAAAGTTCCCCAATGAATTTTTACCATCAGCATATCAAGGGAATCACCAGAGAAGTGGTACGAACCCTTGTATCCAAATACTGGGCTCCACACTTAGAATTTTGGGAAAATCACTCTTTCTTTCTGAGCCTTGTTTTTCCCATTTGTGGGAGAAAAATAAGGATTTGGATGACACCAGATATTCCTAAGTGTGGGAATTATGAACTGGTACTTACAAAATAATAGTTATTGGGAACTATATAAGGTAGGTAAGCCAGATCTTTATTTTGTCAAGTAAGGATATAAAAAAGAAGTAAATATTACCCTACACACACACAGACACCCCACATTCTCCTCTCACTATTATTTCTCACAGTATGAATCATTTTAAACTATAAAAATTAGAGAGATTTCAGTCTCAGAATGAAAGGTCATCCTTCCAATGCAACACATTTGGGTTGGTTTTCTGTCCAGCTCACACTGTTGACCTCTCGTCCCACCTGGCAAATGAACACCTCTGCCTGTGAATGTGAACTCAGTACCAGTAATTGGGAACCTCAGGCCTGTGACTGCCAGGTTTCTGACAAAGAACTGTCATCCAAAATATACAGAAAACTCTTCAGACTCAAAAATAAAAATCAGATAATTTTTTTAAATGGGCAAAATATCTGAACATAAACTTCACCAAAGAAGATATTCAAGTGGGAAATAAGTGTACGAAAATATGCTGGATATCATGCTATTAGGGGATTGCTAATGGAAGCAACAATGAGATACCACTATGCACCTATTAGAATGATCAAAATCCCAAACACTAACAGCACAAAATGCAGGTCAGAAGGTGGAGCAACAGCAACTCACCGCTGATGGAAATGGAAAAGGATGCAGCTATTTGGAAGACCGATTTGGCAGTTTCTTACAAAACTAAACCTGCTCTTACCATGCGATGTAGCAATTGTGCTTCTTGGTATTTACCCAAAGGAGTTGAATAATTACATCCACACAAAAACCTGCATAGATACGTTTATAGCAGTTTTATTCATAACTGCCAAAACTTGGAAGCAACCAAGATGCCCTTCAGTAGGTAAACAGATAAATCCTGAAACTTCCAGGCAATGGGATATGATTCAGCACTTTAAAAAAAAGGGCTATTAAGCCAAGAAAAGCCATAGAGGAACGTAAATGCAAAACACTAAGTGAAAGAAGGTAAATTGAAAAGGTTGTGTGACACCAACTAGATGACATTTTGGAAATGACAAAACTATGGAGACAATTTTTAAAAATCAGCAGTTTCCAGAGGTTAGGGGAGAAGAGGAGTATGAAGAGGCAGAGCACAGAGACTTTTTGGGGCAGTGAAACTCTTCTGTATGATCCTATAATGGTGGATAATGGCATTACAGTATCCATTCATCCAAACCCATAGAGTGTGCAACACCAAGAGTGAACCCTCATGTCAACTATGGCTGTTGGGCGATAGTGATGTGTCAGTGTAGATTCATCAACTGTAACAAACGTACCGCTAGGGTGTGGGATTTGAAAGGTGGGTGGATGGGGGAGGCTGTGTGTGTGTGTGTGGGTGGTGGGGGGGTGCAGGGAGCACATGGAAATCTGTACCTTCCTCTTAATTTTGCTGTGAATCTAAAACTGCTCTAAAACTTAGTCTATTTCATACAACAACAATAAAAATGAAATAGAATAGTAAATGTTCGAGGGCATTGTGCTTGATCAGGTAGATACTTTATTTCAAAACCCTTGCTTTATATATGTATGCATGTACTGATCACTAAGAAATTACACCTCTTACTGTGGGTTATGGTCAAAAAATGTTAACAGTCACCGGATGAGAGTATTTCCAAGGTCCCTGGGATAGTTTCTTCAAATGAAAAAGGGTATTAGAGTAACACCTCTGCATCTTTAATGGTTGAGAGAACCAACTAAGATGGTCAATGTGAAAAAGACTGAGAGGGAGACAGTCTTATTCTGCACTGACAGGAATGGCTTCTTTTGGACCCCTGACACCCATCCAGCCCCAGAATCACCAGCAGACTGAACACAAGGAACAGGTATCAGATTTCACTTTTAAATCACCGCAATAATACTTCTCTACCCATGGAAACATCAAACTTCTTGAAATGTTTATGTTCCCGGTTTCTAAATCAATTAGAGGTATCCAGAACAGGGAATCACAAAAAGGAAGTTCTTGATAAACAGCTGCTGCATTAGTCTGTAAGTGGCTAACAGCTTGGGTGAATGGACAAATGAATGCATGGATGAACTGATCAATGGATCGATCAATCAGTCAGTCAGTCAATCTGTCAGTCAAGAACAAATGCAGGAAGAGTACATCTCTTAGACCACTGGTGAATCACTCGGCCTCTAGATGCAGTTTAACAGGACAGGTTCTGCTAAAACTTTCTGACTTGCTTCACTCCCTCCTCACTGTGACCCTGCATAAATGTGCACATCTAAATGTCTGCTTCCATATGAAGGGCAGGCTAATGAATGGCCCTGGACTAGCTCAGTCAGGCACACACATTCACTCCCTCATTCATTCACCAGGTGGGCTGAACATGTGGACTCTGTGCTACGGTTCTCGGAAAGAAAAGATACATCCCAGTGCTTGAGGAGTTCACATTCAGGTGGGCGCTGAATATAAGAAATCAATCATCAAGAAGAACTCAGGAGAAGGAAACTTGGATTTATTGAGCACCTGTTCGCGCAGGGCATGTCACATACACACATGAACTTGATGCCATTTATTTCAGAGACAGAGCCCTGGAGATACAAATTTCCCAGCTCTGCTCAGTGCTCTGGCCAACTGCCCAGCATTAGGGAACACAAGTGGATGGTCACCACATCCACTTGTTTTATAATTGATATAACTGAAACCAACAAGAGGAACTTGAAGGGGCCTTACCCACAGTTTAGAAGACAAATCAACTCTCAAGGGCTGCCTCTTCAACATGGGTTTTCCCATCTTTGGCCAAGACATATGATCCCACAAAGCCATTGCCAACCACAGATATTATTTCATTTCTGTGAGCTCGGAGCACTGAGATGGCTGGAGTGCACCCTGAGGGCTGATTCTGTGTTCTCCAAATGCACGTCCCATCGGGAGGTGGGAACATTCCTCATGGTTGCAAATTCTTTCTCTTCCTGCTTCTTTTCCCTCTCTGGACAGTGGTAGTGTTTGTATTATTTCTCCCTGGGTGATCTCTGGACATGACTGAGAATGAAGCCCATTGATCATTTTCTTAAAGTTTTTCTTCTGAAGAAAGAGGTAAATTTGTCAAGTGTCTGGTCAGGGTTTTGTAGCACCAAGAGTTTCCTTAAAATGGGCAGTTACACCTCAGACGGGGGCTGTCAGAAGAATGAAGAAACGATCTCCTGCCCCACAAATCAAGTTTTCCCAACTTCAAAGGAGTGGGAAAGAACTCACAAAGCATCAGCATATGAAATAATAATAATAATTAGCAACAAGAATAATATTAATAATCATCTGACCGACCGGCAGCATCTGTTGGATTTAATAATTTTGAGGTCTCTCAAGAAAATAAAACAAAAAGCAAACAATAAAAGAAAGAAAAAAAAGGAACACATGGCTGAAGTCTTTCAAGACCTCTGGCTTCCCACTGGGCTCCGAGTTCAAGTTTCAGAAATCCACTGCAGTCTTCCGGCTTTCCAGAGTCCTCTAGGGGCCCTTCACATTACCTGGCCGGGCAGCAAGGCTGGCGAAGTAGGCACACTGGGAAGGGTCACACTGGCCTGGGGGACCAGGGGGTCCTGGGGGGCCAGGATGTCCAGCTGGTCCTGTCTCCCCTTGAGGGCCAGGGATCCCAGGAAGTCCATCTTTAGCGTAGCCAGGTTCCCCGGGTTGACCTGGCCCAAGGAGCAAAAGAAACAGAAGGTGGTTCAAGATCCTTCTGGGAGGGGATGGGCCCTGACCTCACAGCTTCCATTCACTATGAACTCAGGCCTGAAACGTCCTCAGATGGAACATCCCCAAGGTCTGGGAGCTCTGAGCAACTAGAGCGGTCCACATAAACACAAGGTAGCAGGAGCACCTCAATATGCAGAAGGAGGGATTGCTTTAACTATTGGACCTGGGATAGTAACCCAGGTACCACTGGAGAGAAAGAAACAAGGGTAGATTGAGACCAGGTAGGGTATACGTTTTCCACTGAAGAGTCAGATGAGAGACCTGGCCTTCTGGGTTCTTACATGGGTCTAGGGAACGTGTCTGAATGGAGAGTAGACACCAAGTCCTAATCATTAACCCTTAGCCCCAATTCACATGACCTTAGAGACACCTGGTGACATTCCATTACTCAACATCCAACTTGTCCCAAATCTCTATTTTCTCAGCTTTATCTACACATTAAATTTGAACCACATATTTGGATTACATTAAGCTATTCTGCAAAATCATGGCCAAAGACAACATCTAGGATGCAAGTAAGTGACACTTAAAATAGTCCAAAATTGAGACCCAGAAAATACTGCCTATAGACAAACTTCTATCCCTTCACTTAGTAACATCATAACATCATACATAGTCAACCTATCTTTCTTCTTAGCTTTGGGAACTTGGAAGGTCAGTGCTAAGTCTTGCGTTTAACCCTAGTAGTGACATCCCTTCTTAAGTCTTAGTAATCATCTTACCAGAAAATCTCATGTAAAATAAACACAAAGTAAACTTTTCACTTAAAAAGATCAGTAGGTATTTCATTAATTCTATTAATGCTTTGGTAATAGCTATTTAATCTATAATCTTGCCTAGATCAAGTTTGGAGGCCTCAGTGTTATTCATTCCTTGGGCTAAGAGCCACTGAAATGTGATAATTATCTCACTTCCACATTGGTACAGTTACTTCCTCCTTTTCAATGGTTTCTGTTCGGCCATTTACTCTTGATTTGAAATTGCCTGGTTTTAAATGTTCCTCTTAATATTATAAGCTATTTGAAAATAGGTGAGCCATAAAAATAAATATTTATAATGTATTTCTAATTATCTTCTCTAAGGAAAATAATAATAAATATCCACTTTAGAAAATTTGGAAAATCATGAAGGTATAAATACTAAAATTGAAATTCTCTATAAGATCAATATTCAGATATGACCTCAGGCAAACATATAAATTAAAGTTAAATAAAAAATAGAAGCCTCAACAGTCAAATTTCTTCTACCTTCTACCTATACACCTCATTTTGGAACGTGATTATTGTTGCATTGTAGAGATCTTCCAACATGACCACTGGGTAGCATGACCAACTTGTCCCAGTTTTCTCAAGTCATGTCTTCGTTTTAAAGCTGAAATTCCCAGGTCCCAGAAACGTCCTCAGCCCTGGGACAGCTAACCACCCTACCACTGGCTGAGCATTTCCCAAAACATATTCTGAGAAGTGCTAAAGGGATATTAACAACTGCACAGTGAAAGAAAAAGGACTCCTCTTTCAAGTGAATTTCGAAAGTGCTAGGTTAAACAAAATAGACACATTTTAAAATGTGAGTCCTCAGCACTTATGATAGTGAATGTGCACCAGAAATGTCTGAAAGAGAAACATAGTCCCCAGCAGTTCCTGATTTAGCCCAAGTCAGTTTTTGTTTTGTTTTGTTTGTTTTGTTTTGCTTTCTCTAGGACCATTTTATGAAATTTTAAATTCATAGGACACACTTCAACAATTCATAGAATACACTATAGTTTTCTTAGTAAGTCAAGAAGGTCGTAGTTTAGAAATATTTAATGAAACTAAGTAAGTGATCTCTGTCTCCTCCTCATCTGTAGAGCCTAACCCCTCCTCTCCACTCACTGCTGAGTCCTGGGGGGCCACGGGCAGGAGTGCTGCGTCTCCCCGTAGCTCACACCCTACTCCTGAGCCTCCAGAATGAGTCATACCTGGGATGCCAGGGGGTCCCATCTCGCCTCGGAGGCCAACTCCAGGTGCACCTGGGTCACCTTTGGCTCCTCGCTCACCTGGGAAGAAAAACATGCACTTTTGATGGTGGAGACCCCCGGGGACAACAGAAACTGGACATCCCGCAACGGGATGTCCAGGTGCAACACTGGGCTGCTGCAGTGTTCCAGTCTAAATCACCCTGGGTACATACCCTCATGCTGCACAGTACCCCCAATTCCCATTCACATACTCATTCACACACACACACTTCAGCACACAGTCACATTCAGAAATATGCACATGGAATCAGCAAAACAAACAAACACTCTCTCCTAAAAACGCATATTTACATATGAACATTTGCTCAAGCACACATCTACCCAATTCCATACAGACATATATATATATTCAAACCATATTGACAACTGTATACATACACTCATATACACATACTGACTCATTCAGACAAATGTGCACACCTACACACTCTCTCTCATATGCCATACACACAGAAGTCCGCATGCATCCCCTCTTATATGTCCATGCTTCCTGTATTTCCAAGCATTGTACCTGAACTTTTATCAGGAAGAAACGGGATGATATATAAACAAATTCAACACTCACATAGGCATGTGCAGTGATAAGTAAGACACAGCTCTACTCTCAAGAAGCTTGAAATTTAATAAGAGAAATAAAATAGGGCACGAAGAACATTCTAGTATGAAACAGAATGTGCGATAAGTACCATCATAGGAATTTTAAAAACCACTCCACGCACGCAGAGGAGACAGAGTGATCCATTTCCCCTGGGAGGACACTTGAGATCATATTTGAATGAAGATGGTGGAGATGGGAGTAAACTGTCTCTCACCCTTGTTTTTTAAATCAATCACTTGTTTTGCCGTATTGTTTCCAGAATATCTGCTGCATGCAATATATTTTCTTTTGTAACCCCAACTGAAATTCTGCTGGTTCACAGGGACTTCAGACCATTCACTTTTATTGTTATAATAATTATGTTTGGTCAGTATTCTGCCACAATCTGATGTTCTCTATGCTTTATGCTTTCTTGTTGACATTTATTTTATATATTTTGTTTTATGAAATCATATGAGTAGGACTAGAATATACAAATTTAACAAAAAGCCTTTCAAGTAGGAGAAACATTATAGGAAATGGATACACAAATTAAGAATTAGTAAGAAAATGGGAGATCAAAAGAGGACAATGTTAAAGGCATCCGTCTCCCTAACTCCAACAAGTCACTCCAGAGCAGCTAAAATGACACCACATGCTCTTTTCCCTGCCCCACACTTACTCCTAATCGCACAGGAGTGAATTATGGGCTGGTCTCCTGTCTTTTATCTTTATTTGAAATTGCCTTATTCAAAAATTATTAATTGTATAAGCTATTTGAAAGCAGGCAAGCTTTAAAAAGTAGATCAAATATTTTTTAAACAACCTTTTATAAATCATTCTACTATAAAGACACATGCACACATATGTTTATTGCAGCACTATTTACCATAGCAAAGACTTGGAACCAACCCAAATGCCCATCAATGATAGACTGGATTAAGAAAATGTGGCACATAGATACCAAGGAATACTATGAAGCCATTAAAAAGAATTGAGTTCAGATCTGTTGCAGGAACATGGATGAAGCTGGAAACCATCATGCTCAGCAAACTAACACAGGAACAGAAAACCAAACACCACATGTTCTCACTCATAAGTGGGAGCTGAACAATGAGAACACTTGGACACAGGGAGGGAAACATCACACACCGGGGCCTGTTGAGGGGTGGGGGTCAAGGGGAGGGAGAGCATTAGGACAAATACCTAATGCATGCGGGGCTTTAAACCTAGGTGACGGTTTGATAGGTGCAGCAAACCACCATAGCACATATATACCTATGTATCAAACCTTCACATTCAGCACATGTATCCCAGAACTTGAAGTAAATTAAAAAAAAAAAAAAAAAACACACTTTTATTTGTTAAAAAAATAATATTTTTAAATTTATTTTTTAATCCTTCCCCTCTCTCTCTCACATCTGTCTTCCTGCAGAGAGAGTAAGTGTTCTGACCTGTTTGCCACTGTGTGATGAGTTAAATGGTACAGCCTCCACCCTCTGAAAGAGAGACCTTCTGTTGGCTGGAGCTCTGATGTCCTGATAAGTCACTGCCTTGAGACCTGGGCAGTTAACAGCTGTTCTGTTCCAATTTTAAGGCTGGCATTTAATCTCCATTGAGATGAAATGTCTGATTCCTCAGTGCTAAACTCGGTAGGGGAAGAAGGAGGCATGTTGTTTACCTCCCTGAAACTTGAGCAGCGGAGATGGAGAGAGAACAAGAAAGTAGGAGGGAACTGATTCAATCTTCCTAGCAGAAGCATAATTTTGTAGAAATGTCAAATATGAAAGCCTCTTATGCATATGATAAAATTATATGATGCCAAAACTCTGGGTGTTACCAAGCTACAGGCAGTGAGAGTGGCATGAATAATGCATGCAGTGCCACCTCCCAGCCGTGTTCCTTCTCTACCTTCCAGAAGTACATGGAGCACATCTCCTCCAGGTCTTCACTCACCTTTTGGACCTATGGGTCCAGAGGGTCCTTCCAGGCCACTCTGCCCAGGACGACCTGGCTCCCCCATGGGGCCGGCCCGACCTGGAAGCCCATCTTTTCCAGGGGGCCCTGGGGGCCCGGGTCTGCCTTGAGATGCCTTCATGTGCGCTGGGGGCATCTGGGCCAGGAGGTAGGCGAGTTTGGCTGTGGAGTAGGAAGAAGAGAGGCATTTCATGAAGAATGGATAGTGGACATAGGACAGGACGGCTACTCACTGCCAACTCAGAACCAAGGGGCCAATAATAGCTGCAGAAACAATATCGATGACACGTCACTTGGCATATGTGCAGCATTTGTATGGGCACCTTCTGATTGTGGCTGGCCATGGGGTGACTTAATCAGTAGTGACCATCACTGACCCTGGAGCAGGTCTGCCTAGGCTGGGATCCCAGGACTGCCACGGCCAGCCAGGTGGCCTCGAGCAAGCTACTTGACCATTCTCAGTCTTGGTGTCCCTTTCTATGCAATGGAGACAACGAACTAGCACCTACCCCACTGGGCTGGAATGAGGATGGAGTACGTGAGATGATATACGTGAAACAGTGCCTGGCACTTGCTAAGTGCTCAGGAGATGCTGGCTGCTACCCCAGGGGCAGAACGATGGAAGCCATAGTAGCACAGACAGCAGTAGCAGTAGTAGCAATTGCAGTGGTCAGTTGGGGAAACTGACGCTGGGATGGAGGAGATAAGTGGCTTACACAAAGCTATGTTGGTCACTTTTCCTCTCCAATGTCAAATTCCTCATCTATAAGCTAAAGAGCGGGACACGATGGTCATTGGAGATCCTATACATCTAAAATGTTAATATGACAGAGCTGATTTAAAGACCCAGAGGTCCAGTGCTGGTCTGGCAGCCTTTCAATGGGACAGGGATATATGCCCATCTGGTGGCCACCAAGGGCAGTCTTTGTTTGCCATGCAGTCGTAGGTAATCAGGCCCAAACTGCTATTTTGCAGACAGTGTGACCAAGACCAGAGGCTGGGAGGCTACCCAAGGCCCCCGGCGTTTGACAGGAAAACCAAGGCAGAGTCAGGCTCTTCTGACTGCCTGGTTGATCACTTCCCAGAGTACCTCCCTTCTACTACTCCTCTCACAAGGCGGCAGGAGGACAGGTGGTCCACTTCTGCAACCTGACAAACTGCTCAACTTTTCTGAGCCTCGATTTTGTCATCTTTAAAGTGGAGTGGATACTCCTTCCTCAAAGGCCTGTTTGGAAGAAACGACTTAGCCCAGCAGATTCTCTACCCAACCCAATTTGAAAGGGGTCTTGTCTCTGCTCGTGGGCTAGAGATCCCCCAAAAGCAAAGGCCATTTCTGTCACTGATGAATCCAACATTCAGAAGGTAGAACTCAGAGATCTACACACATGAGACCTCAGAACACCACCTACCCATGGTACCCACCAATCTGGTCCTTATTTCCCTCCTCTCATCGCCTCCTTCTCCCACCCAGCACCCACTCGTTGATGTGTGCTCCCGAAAACAGTCCTTTGCCCTCATTTCCATACAGGAAAAAGACCATGTTTTTTTTCCTGTATGGAAATGGACCGTGTTCCTCTGGACACTCCAAGAGGACAGGAAGGAGGGCCGTCTTGTTTACAGCTGTGTCCTTGCTCCCAGCACAGAATCTCGCAATGGGAGGTGCAAAATAACTGAGACATGATCATGTAAATAAACGTGCCCTCGCCTTTTGTCCTTGTGCGCCTGGAAAGTAGTTATGGATTTCTCTTCTTCGCTGCAACAAGATCTTGTGTGACTTTCTTCTCCTCTAACTTCCCATTGCAGAGGGAATGGGAATGGCTGTTGTTCAAGACAGTTTGGTGATGAAGAGCACAGAACCTTCAGTGAGGCTGCCCGGGTGCAAATCCTGGCCAGATCTCCCCAGCTCATCAACCTTAAGTTACTTAGCCCCTAATAATTCTGCTTCTAACAATTCTTAGAATAATTACGGGAGCCTCATGAGATTGTTTGGAGGCTTCTTTGGGTTAACACTTGCAAGTGCTGAGAACTTCACCTGATCTTGGCAAATGCCAACATGCTGGCATGATTACTACCATCCTCCTACTTTCCTCCCTCCCTAAGCATCTGCTACGCACAGGCACATGCTAGACCTGGGGACGTAACAATGAGTCAATGCAACAGGACTGAAAGGATTTTAGTTCCTTGAAAGCACTAGGCCTGCCTGCCCCACTCAGGGCCTTCACACATGTTGTTCCATAGACCTGGGGTTACATTTCATCTTTCAACTTGCAGCTCACATGGCCCCTCCTCCAAGACGCCTTCATTAATCCACTCCCTGGCCTCTGAACTATCTCAGGTATGTTCATCTGTCCTCTTTTAATGCCTGCTGTGAAAAATAAAATTTAAGAACTTTTATTGACTTTACTAAAATCATCTTGTCTATTTGTTTATCTACTTCCTCCTCTGGACTGTGAGTTTCATGAGGTTCATAGCAGTAAATAACCAAAATTCTTTACAGACTAGATAAGTGGCTCAATGCACAGAATAAATGATTGATCATAGCAGAGCTGTTTTTGTAGATAGTGAGCTCTCCTTCACTAGAGGTAATCAAGGGAAAGCTGAAGGACTAGTCCTAGAGAACGTATGTGTCAGATAAAGGACAGTCTTCAGGGTGTTCCTCAACCCTGTTAGTCTACACTTGAGCAGCCAGTCAGGTGCTTTTCTTACTCCAGGATGCAAAAGCATTCAAGTCTGAATGAAAGGACTGCTTCCTGGGCTCTTCTCTGCAAGACCGTAACACAGTCCAGATACTCACTTTCGAGCTGCTTCCCCAGCTCTTCTTGAATAAGCCGACGCAGGGTTTCCATGGATGGAGACTCCCCCTAGGAGGGAGGGAAGGTGGAGTCATTCATCTTCCCAGTAACTTCTGCCACCTAAGAACCCGAGGACTCAGGAAGCCAGGAAGTTCGTAGGTGGTATATACCCACACAGGGAAGCACATGTTCCTAACCCAATCTTTTCCATGTCTCAAATCCCTTCCTCCCTTCTGTTATGCAGGCAGCATCATCCCATTTTACACAGCAACCCGGACTCTGGGCTCTCTGAGCCACTGCTGTCCTTCCTTCCATACCCTTCCAGCTTATTCACTGGATTTCCTTCCTGATCAAGCCACCGTGCCCATTAATTCCACTCATACTCCCTTCTTAGCACTGGACCTGGGAGATCTGGCCCCTAATCTCTCCCTGCCAAAGTTGTGTCCACTTTTCGGACATAGCCCACAGGCTGCCTTCTATGTGAACTCGTGTGGATTTCCTCTGCCTGGCTACTTGGCCACTCTGGTTCCTGCGGTCTGGTTTTCCCTGCTTAGGTCCACTGTGGCTCTAAACAACTTTCTCACCAAGTTCTGGTGCTTGGTCCACAGAAGCTGATGAGTTTGCCAACCAGAGGAGCAAGTGTTGTCTCCAAGCTCACACAGTGGCATGTGATTCTTAGAAGAACCTAGAGGAGTTGTCCTCAAGCTGTACAGAGCTGGTCCCTTCCTGTCTGACTGCTCAAGGGCCGTGTCTACCCCTCAAGGGCAGGGGTCTTACTGTGCTCATCTCTGTAGCCCCATACCTGGCATGAGATAGACTCCATTTCCCTATTCTTTTATTCTGACCAAGAATCTTTTATATTAGTCCCAGAATTCTCATCACTGCCCATAGCAGCAGGACTGGCAGAACTTGGCAAAGCTCCAAGAGGGCTTTGGAAGCCAGCTGAGTGCTCCAGCCTCTCCATTGACTTGGCCAAGAGACAGACTCTGGCTGCCTGGCATCTTTCAGGGCAGCTGAAACCCAGGCTGACCACAGCCACCAGGAACTGACGCAACTGCAGAGCATCAGAAGTGGCAGGGACATGGAGGTCATCCAGACCTGGGCTCTGAGAAATACAAGGGTCTCCAGAAGACCATATGGGCTGCTGAGCAGGAAGGGGTGGTCACATGGACCTCCACCAGGGGAGCTCTGTGTCTATCTTTTTATAGCCCATGTATGCCTGTGTCATGAGATTGTGTAAATGAAAGTTCTGCCACTAGGATAAAGGATGTTTAAAGAAAGAAAAAAACATCACTTTAAATAAGCCCTTGTTCCCAGCTTTGGAAAAAGAGAGATGCAGGGGGAAGAAGGAGTACTCTAGGTTGGCAGATACAAGAGTGGCAAAGCCAGGCATCAAAATGGATGGTGAACCATCCCACAATGAAGTTCAGACCCCTGGGAACTGGGTGTCTTCTCAACTGCCTTTTGCACAAGGTCCTGGGCAGAAGAGTTCTACAGCCCAAGAAATGAAGTCTTAAGGATTCATTACCACTGAGGAAGAGGGTTGAACAGAAGAGGGACTATTTTTGAGCATTTCTTAAGCTAGGCACATTATTTAACTTGATCATCATAAATCAGAAGAGGATTGTTTTTCCTTTTTGCAGACAAGGAACGGCAGATTCAGAGAGGAAAGGTAGCCTGCTCCAGGTCACACCTTCAGTCACTGGAAGACTGGGATCTGTAGCCTAGTGCCTCTGAAGTCCACACACTTCCCTGGCTCCCTTTAAGGCCCCGAGGAGCCCCAAGTCCAAAGCCGTACCAGCATCCTTACCCTCAGTCCTGGAAATCCCGGCTGGCCTGGAGGCCCTGGGGGTCCAGCTGGTCCGTTCTCCCCAGGTGGTCCTTGGGGACCCATCAGGCCTGTGTGACCTTTGTGGCCTGGGATTCCAGGGTCCCCAGGCTGGCCCTTTCCACCAGGAGGTCCTTTGTCACCTTTGATCCCAGGATCTCCCTAAGGAGGCAAGAAGCATATTAGCGTGTGTCTCAGGGCTGGAAACTGTACCCCATGCGGCTGCAAAAGAGGTTCCCCCAGTCTGCCTCTTAGATCACTGAAAGGGAGACCTTGGCCCTGGGTGGCCCATGTGTGGCTTGGGGTAACAAGAGCCCCAGAATCCATCACATGCACCATCCTGATTGTACAAATGAAAACATGGGCAGCCTGGGCAAGATGTTGTGACCCCATCATTAGCAAAAATAATTTTTTAAAAAACTAGCCAGGCACAGTGGCAATTGCCTATAGTCCCAGCTACTTGGAAGGCCAAGGTGGGAAGATCGCTTGAGGCCAGGAGTTTGAGACGACAGTGAGCTATGATCATGCCACTGCACTCCAGCCTGCGTGACAGAGTGAGACTCTGTTTTTTAAAAAAGAAAGGAAAAAGAAAAAGAAAACATGCAGGGCCCAGAGACAGAAAGCCACCAGCCCATGGTCACACAGCTAGTCTATAGAGAACAGGATAAGAATGTTGATTGCAGAATTCCAATCCTATTCTTAATCCCAAGAGTGCAGCTCCTCGGGCTGCCTGGAGAAGGCTGGCCCTGGCAACTGAGACTGATGGTGGAGCTGCTGACCCCTTTCTGGCCTGGTTTTGCTCTCTAGAGACAGTGGTCCTCTCTCAACAGAGGTGACTCCCTCCCAGGTCATCTCCTTCTCCTTTCTCTCAGCTCTAGGGAGTTCACAGAGGATTATCCAATGGCTTCCAACACTGCCTAGGGCTCATCTCTCCCCACAGCTGATCCAGAGTTGGAAGTGCTGGACCAATGATTTGGTAACTATGGCAAGCCCAGGGCAGTCCAGTCCTCCGCCTTTATGTGCTACTGTGTGTTTGACCAGCAAGTTCAAATGGTTGGTTGGTCTGAAAATATGGCACCCACATTAATGGCCTCAGAGATAATGGAACTCCATTGCTGGGATGTAGCAGAGAAAGGGAGGCTCAGGGAGAAAAAGAAGAGACACCAGATGGTAACTGTAAATGTGTGGCATGGCTGACAACATGACCCAGAGCCCCAGAAAAGGAAAACGGTACAGTCACCACACCATCTCTAACATAGGCACTTAAATGAAAAATGCAAGGAGTGAGACAATAGATAACGTATGATATGCTCAGAGTGGGGAGGGGGTTAAATACAAGGTAAATGCACATTTATAACACACACCGCACACAATTCTGTATGCACAGACTCCCTCTGAAAAGATAAAAAGGAAAAGCACTGTGATAGACCCTGGAGACGGGTGGGGCTAAGGGGTGAGATAGAAGAGGCACATAATTTTCGTTGCATTCACTTGTCCTGCAGTTTTCACTGTTGAACAATGTACCTGTATTGCTTTTAATATTTCAACAATAACCCAAAATCAATGAATTCAAAAATAATAATTGAGCAGATCCAAAGAAGTCACTTCAATTTTCCAGGTGTGATGCATTTCACAGGACATTGCAATCTCTGTCAGTGATCTTGAATTCAGGGGTCTAGTAAAGTCCTGGTATTTGTACACCTGGATGCCAAGGCCCTATCTCATGTGTGGTACAGCATTTTCTATTCATTAAATGTCTCACAGTCACTTTGTGGTGACAGCACTTGTCCCATATTTCAAATGTTCCCAGAGTACAAAGAAAAGGGTAGTCTAATGGCTCCCTGGCAATGTGCCATGAAAGCACTTAACAGGCAAAAGGCAAGCTCTCCGCGTATTGATTAGGTATTAAAGAAGAGATGCCATTGGTGGTCTGAGTTCCTTGGCTCTCAACCAAAATTCAAGCCTATATCCTGCGCCAATAGCTCCCACAGGCGCCTGAGTCGCATTCTCGGAGGGGCGGGGGGGAACGTCAACGCCTTCTCAGCCACATGTCCCTCATGTCCCTGGCTCCATGGCTCAGGAACCAACAGCCACGGGATAGAGGAATCAAAGTCATGGGAAGGAGACAGGAGGAAGATCCAAGGGGGAGAATCCCTGAGACTCTGCCCCCACTTTTCTCACTCCTCTGGCTGTGGGAGAAGCCAGCCGGCTCCCCACCCACCCCACTTGCGAAGAAAGCCGAGATAAATTCTTTTCAGGACCATGGAAAACAAGCGGGGGTGGGCTGGGGGTGCCTGGGACGTCCGTGTCCCTGTCGTGCAACAGTGTGACAGCGTGAGGCTGACCAAACGCAGGATTGTGGGCAAACGAGACACAGAAAGCCTCCAAAGGGAGCAGCAGTCGTGAGTGTGAGAACGCGTCCGCCTTCCACAGGCTCTTCAGCAAAAAAAGAGAGAAAAAGAAGAAAAAAGAAGTCTTTTCCCCTGTTGTTTTTTGGAGAAATGAAATGTAAAGAAAGGCTTTCTGAGTATAATGCCAAGGCAATTCATTATGGGAAAATCTGTTCCCTTGTCACCTCCAGCGACAAATTTGGCTCCTGGCAAATTGGCACTTCGGGAGCCGAGCCCATCTCGGCGGGCATTCGCACATGGGGAGAAAGAAATCTGTCAATGTCTCCCAAGGCTTGCCTTTGAATCTCTAATTGTGATGATTTTAGTCCTTAAACTAATAACCAGAAAGGAAAAAAGGAAAAAAATAATAATAACATCAAGTACAAACAATCCTGGGAGGAAAAGAACCTCCCTTTGAGGGGCTGGTGATCATCCAGGAAAAAGTGAACAAAATCACGACAGGTGGCGTGATCCAGGCGGGTGTTTACTAAGTGCTTTGGATAAAGGCCAGGCTCAACATCCCGTGGCCACTGTGCAAAGATCACGTTCGGCGTGTTCAAGGTGCCCGTGCTCTCTCCACTCACCCTTTCTCCTTTGAATCCAGGCTCTCCGGGCTTCCCAGGGACCCCCTGCAAGGAGAAAGCAAGGACAGTCATTGCCCCAGACCCTCTGCACTGGCGTCCTTGCCTCGCTGGATATTGTTCACAGTCCTGCATGCTGAGGACAAGGGATCCTCAAGAGATAAGGTCCCCCGAGGGCTCCTTTCTGATTTATGCCCTCTGATTTATGTGGGGGTGGCACACTGCGTCTTCTTTCCTTTCCTCCTGGCACTATCCACCTTTGACTGATGGCACCAGCCCCTGGTTGGCCCCTCCAGATTCCTCCCTTACCTCTTGTGGGATAAACCCCACTCCCTTTAACATGCCCAGGAGGCCCTGCACCAATTGTCTTCAACAGGCTGTCACTGCCCTGGATGGCTCTAGTGCAAGGGACAGACAGTTCTGCCATCTCATGGCCTCTGTTCCTTGTCTTCCCTGTGCCTGCAGCATGCTCCCCACCTCTCTGTCCAGACACCTACTTCCCACCTGGCCTGCAGGTCTCCTCTTCAGGAAGCCCCCTGACCACCTAGCACTTAGAGAAGTGGCCCTCTTCTATGTTCCCACAGTCCCCACCCCCTCCTGGAGGGCAGTCACATCAGGGAACAAGGGACACAGCCCACAGTGCCCACTGCTTCTGTCACGGTCTCCACCTGGAATGTCTCTTTCCTGCCCCTTTGCCCCCAGCTCCTCTGCCATCTCCTCTGTAAAGCATTGGCTAATCCCTCTGGCCAGTGTCCATTCTCATGCATGGGTTACTTTCCTGCCAGCTGACACCTGTCTTTCTCCCCAGATATGATGACCAAGGTATGCTTGTCTGCCTGCCTCTTAGACAGCACACATTTGGAAAGCAGAGCTTGATACTGGGAAAGGAAATTCAGCCCAGGGGCTCTTGTCCCATCTCTTGGTTGATAGACTTGGTTGATAGATTGAAGAGAAGAAAGTCAAAGAGAGGACTCTTGACCTCCTCTGAGCCTGGCCATTTCAGCCCCAGAAACATTCACTACATCGCTTTCATGCAGGTGCCATGTTCAGCTCTGAGACCTACGCAGAGGACAGGGATAAGACATGATCCTCATTCTCACAGAGTTCACAGCCTGTCCACGAGGTGGAGGTGGGCACGAATTGATTCTAACACAAGGCAGACTGATTTAATTTCTGTAACATAATTATCAAAAACTGCCTCGGTATTCCTGGGTGAATCTGTAAGTTGGGAAGCACGGATCCTTGAAAGTTGGATAAAACTGAACAACAAAAAGTGGCAGGAAAGGCAATCCACATGGGTGGAAGAGTGAGGACCAAGCCTTGGATGGGAGAAGATGGAGACATGTTGGGCATGGGGAAGCAGGAGGCTCCCATTCTAAGGGGAGAGCTAGATCAGATCTCGAAGACCTACGACGCCTGCTTAGCCTAGAATTTATTTGAGAAATGCAGAGAGAATTCATTTAAGCAGCAGCCCAAGTACAAGCACATGGGGCCGATGCACACTCAGAAATGGGAGCTGCAGGTATTTCCTCTTTACCTCAATCCAGACAGCAGAGGAAACAGTGATTGGGCAATGAGTGGATGATACACCCAGTGAGTGGCACCCTGTGGCTGGGGTGAGGAGCAAACACTTTCCAAGCATGAAGCTATCCGATTCAGCTTCAAGCCAGTGACCACCTCCTCACAGTTAACAACGTGACCCAAAGGCACAGAGTAAAAATGCATCTTCCTCATTCAAGTGGGAGGATGCAGGCTTTGAAACGGAGAAGCTAATTTCCATAGACCTACTTTCTCTGCATTCAATCATTCTTCTGTTCATCTCTCATCAAATATTTTTGGTATCTAGTCTGTGCTGGTCTCCTGGGCTACAGCAGAACAGAGCAGGGTACTAAAACCAAGCATCGTGGGGGGTCTGCTTTGCTTCAGTGTCAAGGAAAGTCGGCAAAAGGAACATTTCAGCTGAGACCTCAGGGTGAGTAGGAATAAGCATGGGAAAAGTGGACCCTTGGAAAAGAACTTGGCGTGTCTCAGGAGCTAAGAGGCCAGTGACTGGAGCTTAGAGAAGGAGGGGAGTGGTGGGACTGCGGCAGCCTGATTCCACGGAGAGAGCAGGGGGAGGGCTGAGCTGCAGGTTGTACTGCAGCGTCTCCATATGCTTATGCTCTGCAGACCCTCTGCCTGCTGGGTGAAAGACTGTGAAGGGGCAAGACTGGACAAAGGGAGATCCATAAGGGGATCACTGCAGTGTTCAAGTGAGAGCAGGTGACAGATTAGATTAGAGTCCCAGGGGCAGAGACAGAGAGAACTGGACAAAACCAACAGGTATTTTGAAGTCAGAGTTGACAGGATTTGTTAATAGCTTGGATGCTGAGGGATAAACAAATGAAACAGACATATCAAGATGGTGCCCCTGCACTGGCTACATAATCTGTGGGGCTCCTGGCAAAATTAAAACATAAGCCAGTTGTTCAAAAGGCATTAAGGATTTCAAAACAGTGAAGGTAGCTAGTGTTAAGGCAAGTGTGGGCCCTTCTAAGCCGAGGGCCTGAGCCTGCATAGACTGCCCATCCATGGGAAAGGGTTGCCAAGGGGTGAGTGGGCATGTGATACTTGCCTCCTTGCCTGGGACTCCTTTCTCTCCTGGTTCTCCCTGGAAAACAGAACAGAATATCAGTGGCTCTGCAGCATCAGCCCAATGTCAGTACTAAGACTGTCTTTAAAACTGACATTTCCACTCAAGTCATGTTCCAGCAAAGACAACAATCGATGGTCTATCTGGCCAAGGACATCCCAGACAGGCTCTCTGGCCAGCCTGTGCAGGGGAAAGCAAAAAATCGCCCCAGGTTAGGAAGAAGAGCCACAGGTTAAGAGCTCCTTGTCAATGGGAAGGGTATGACTCCACCAGGAGGGCCTCCAGGGTATCAGTTTTACAAATAGTCCTGTTGTAGTCAGGAGGCCTCTCTCAGAAGCAGGCTCACAATGTGTGAAACAAGAAGCCAATAAGACACTGGGCTCCAGGTTCAATTCTTGGCTCCTCCACTGTTTGGCTCTGTGACCTAAAACAACCTTCCTACAACTTCCATAAGCTCTCTGTGCCTCAGTGTCTTCATCTGTAAAGTGAGAACAGTGGTTGCACCTGCCTCAAGGATTACTGTGAGGTATTACTTTAGGAGAACTACAATGTGTTAGTTCTCCTAAAGCACACTGGGCAGCAGCAGGCATGTAGTGAGGGCTGGACAAGCACCCCATTCTTATCATGACTCAGGAGCAATTGCTGCAGGGCATCCATAGGAGTGGGTGCCTGGCTGCTCAGTGGCAGCACATTATTAACAAGGGCATGGAGAAGGAGACTTGGCCTTTAGCAAGGGAGTGCATAGGCCCATGTAAAAATCAGTGAATGGGACCATGCAAAGCCTGGGAAGCATGGTAGAAAAGGGTAAGAGGGGCTACCACCTCCAACAGGCTGGGCTTGGCTGGCAGTCGGGCATGCAGAGGGGTCAGAATTCAATTGGAGAGGATGTACAAGAACATGGGCAAGCTCTCTACTCTGGCATGTTGCATGCAAGCCTCATTTATCAGGTCAGCAGTCCAAGCAGTGGACTGCAATATGCAGATGACACCAGAGGGCTCCACTTGGAAATGTTTGAATCCCTTAGCATCTCTCTGTCCAAAAACTTGGCAAAGATTACCTTACAGCTTCCCCCTAACTTAAGCCATCAAGAGACCTTGACTCAAGGATGAGCTGGAGCGCAAACCTACCACGTGGCTTTGAGTAAATCACCTACGTGTTCTGACCCAGTGGCTCAAACTTGCTCACCTTTACAATTATTTCCAAGCGTCCTTCAAGTTCTAGGATCATGATCAACACCATTGTCCCACCACATGCATTATTACAATGGTTTGTATTTACTGAGCACCTACAATGGTCAGGAACCATTGCTGATCCCTTTATATGAATGATTTCATTTAATCCTCAGAAGTAGATGCTGTCATTATCCTCATTTGAATAATGAGACAGCTAAAGCATAAGAGGTTACAACACTTTCCTAAGATCTCATGATTAAGGAGTGATGGCACTGAGATTCCCATGCAGGTGTGACCTCGGGGCACTCCACTGTCTCATAAACTGTGATGCAACTTTGACTCCACACCAGGTCACCATGGCCTGAGCAGACAGAACTGAAGACACAGGAGGTGGCAGGGAAGGTACTGCACGTGAACGTCACAACCTGGAGCCAGGTATCTTGGGTTCCACTGGGGTTCTCTGCTTACCGGAGGCCCACGGGGACCCAGGAAGCCAGGAAGTCCTGGGCTGCCATTTTCCCCTTTGCTTCCTTTCTGGCCCTGCAAAGAGAAAACTGAGAATTAATTCCTCAAGGTCATGTACCAACTCAAGCAGATTCGGAAACCTTGTGACCACTCTGAAATCAAAAGGCCTGAGACATCCACTCAACACACAAATCCTCCCATGATGGAGGGGCATGGGTTAGAAAAAGACACAGGGTCTTGGGACTCCTGGTAGTGCTGTCATAGGAGGGGAAGAAGATGAGAAGTCTCCCTGTAGACAGCCGAGGGTCTTTCCGTTCGAAGCAACTAAAACAAACTGGGACAGATATTTAACAAAGACCCTGAGATGTGCAGAGCTCTCCAAGGAGTGCTCTAGTGAGATGGCATACCACTGCCCATGAGGTGGCCAAAGCTCACTTGGTAGAATCACATTTTGGGAAAGGACTTCGGGAATCTTTCAACTTCAACTTTTCTGGGGAGCCATCATGCATGGGTCAGTACTTCCAGGATCAACTCTGCACCAGGGGAGGTGATGGGTCCAGTTTCATGACCCAACCCCACCTCCTCTGTTCTGTCTCACCAGCAGCAACAGGTCTCACACCATAGCCCCTGAGGGAGGTCACTATGTTTGCTAGGAAGTTGGATTCCTTTTGCATAGCTGTCCCTAGTCCAACAAGAAGAGGGTCTCTGCTAGGGTAATCAAATGCCCAGTTTGCCTGGAACCAGTAGGTTTCCCAGGATGCAGGATTTTCCAACTGGGAAAGTTCCTCACAAACCGAGATGCACTGGTCACTGCAGTATCCGAAGTACCAAGGCCTGGTCAGCCCATTGTCCAATACTATTGACATTTGACTCACACCTTGCAGGTGGCCTTCTGAGTCAGGTGGCCAATTTTAGCAACTAAAAATACAAGACGACTAGATTGGAAGGAGACTAGTGGCCGGAGCTTTTTTCATCCAATCCTAGAACCCATTAAGGAACCATCTTCCCCACCATGTCTCCCCACCTACCAGGACTGAACCCCAAATCTTGTATTTGCTATCTAGCTGACCAGGACTCTGCCAATTGGTACGCACCCTCTCTCTACTACCTGCCCATTGAGCTCTCTCTGCTACCTACCTGTTGATCCTTTTTGTCTCCCACCTCCGTCCCTACCTCCATTTCCATGCTGCACACTTTGTCATTCGAGGTGGTAAGGGTTGCTCGGTCTGACCTTGTCCTCACATCCTCTGGAAACATCAAACTTCTACCCTACAACCTCGTTAAACATTTTTTTAAAAAAATATTTGTTTTGGGTGCCTATGGATGTAGACCATAGATGCCTAAGGTTACAGTCAACAAAGAGCCAAGAGTATGATCATATGTACTTTAAACCTTAAAAAAGGGCCCCATGGAGCTTCTTACCTCCAACTTATTTCTACCACTCAAACCCGTATTTCCCCACCGACGCTTCTAGGGACAGAGGCTGGACAATCTGTAATGTGAGCCACAAGCCCTTTCAAAGCTCACCCCAATGCCATCACATAGCAGCCAAAGAGAACTCACGGGGGTTCCTGAAGGGCCAGGCTCTCCTGGAGATCCCGGTGATCCATTCTTGCCCTGGTGGAAGAAACAGGGATAATCATCCTGCCAGGGCATCAAAGAGCAGGACGTGGAACAAAGAGATAGACTGATGCACAGGACTTGGTTTTATACAGAATCTGTTACTCTAGCCAGTGTGGCTCTCAGTCAACCACTTCATATTCAGAGGATGTTTCTCAACTTCTAAAAGGAACTGTAATATTTAATTCATAATATTGTTGTGAAATTAAATGAGTCTGTGGGCATGAAAAAGTCTAGCCTGGTGAGTGGTGCCCACAGCTGAGGCACAGTAAATAATTATGACCACATTCACTTATTCATCTATTCATCCTTCCATTCAGTTGCTGTGCTGAAGAACAAGCAAACCATCTAACACAACCCAGCTTACATACAATTGCTCACACTGCCACAGTGCTGGTCTCAGCTTAGGGAGCATGTCCATGCCCTTATCTCCTTGGATTCCCCGACTGAGAAGATCATTATACTCTCATTTAAAATAGGTAGATACTGAGGCACAGAGAAGAAAAACAGCCTGTGCAGAGTCATGCAGCTACAAAATGGAAGGTCCATTCACTCCAGATTCCAGGACTGAGGTTTCCAAGTCTAATTCTCTCTAACTTCACAGAGATATTGTGCACATTCATAGTTTTGGCGAACACATTTAACAAATAGGATCCCAGTAGAGTAAAAACAAGAAAGCTCAAGAATGTTCCTGGCTACTCCCTTTCAGGATCAGACAAATTTCTATTAAGCCAAAAATTCACAGCTTCAATTCCCCAGGCTGTGTCAGTCTCTTCCTCTGCCCACCACACTCCCCCACTCAGGGCACATTCCCGTTGGCTGCTGTGTCTTTACCTGGCTCTCTTCCTCACCATGAGTAACCCAAAGGCAGAGTCTATGCCTTGTCATTCTTTATATTTCCAGCCTAGGAGAAGAGAGCCTCCTTGTGTGTCTCCAATGCTGTGCCAGACACACAGGAGGTTTGCTGCTAAATAATGAACCAAGGACGTCCTAGAGAATCACTCTCCATTGATCCTTTAACCAAAAAGTGTTAATGCCCTACAATCTGTGAAACATGTATTCACAAATGTGTTGGATTCATGGAAGCATGCTCCAGTATAAAGTAGCTGATGCTGACCGGGCACTTCTTACATACCAGACTTCTAAGAGCTTTGCATTTCACATGCATTAACTCACTCACTGCTCACATCAGACCCAAACATCATCACGCTTTTACAAATGGGGAAACTGAGGCTCAGAAATGCTAAGCCACCTGCCTCTGAGGCAAGGAGAGGAGCTGAGATCTGAACATAGGCAGCACTGATTCCATCTCCTACTGCTCTGCCCCTCCTTAAGGACATGCCTTATGGGTCAGCGATCATAAATACAGCTTCCACCTTATGCCTCCAAAGCACATGCATGGCCATGGCCTCATGTCACTGGATCCTGCCAGGAATCATACAGCACAGACGTCTTTCTCCCCATATCCCAGAACCCCCTTAACAGACCTGCCAGGGATCGCTGAGCTAGTAAGGTCTAAAATCAGAGCAGCCAGCTGGATTTGTGGACTGCTTACCCGTACTCGGCCCTTCCGCGAACGCTGCATAACGCTTCTCCCTGCACCTTCCTCCGCCCACCAACCCATCTGTGTCCCTCTAAAAATATGTACTTCGCCTTATCCCTATGGAAATTCTATCTCTCCTCCTTCTTCCTCTAATCTTCCCTTTGCAGGGAGGATAAGGGCCAAGACATTGCAGAGACAATAAGGGCCAAGACCCAGTAGCATACGGTGCCAACACAGGCCATGTGCACAGAAGGCAGGGTGGGTGGTTCTGGGCGGCCGCCTGTGCTCTGTGCACTTGAGGCCTACTGGGGCTGGGACCTGGTTCCCTCCCAGGCTACAGAGCCACTCCTGTGTCCTGCTCTCACTCGCCAAGCCCCTTGGGTCTCTGCTTCCCAGGAATGGAAACTACAGCTCCCTTTTTCAACCCTTTTGAGCTCCAAACTCCTATTCTAAGACCCCTCCTTCCAGGATGATCTTTCTGACAAGGACATCTAGCACATGCCAGCCAGGCTGGGTGTTGCAGCTGCAGGCTCTTGAATGAGAATGCTGGGGTCCAAATCCTGGCTGTGTCACTGACTTGCAGTGTGATCTTGGGCAAGTTACTTCTCTGTGTCTCCATTTCTCATCTGTGAATGGGGACAGCAATGACACCTGTCTCACAGGGTTTGGGGAGAAAATGAAGGAATCATGTAAATGCCTCATGCAGTCCCCAGCACTGAACTCCACTCCACTGGTGCTTGTTGGAAGCTAGTGGCTGTGAGGTGGTTGCCACATGGGTCATTCTTACCCCGAGGTGGCTGTAGATTTTAGAGAAAGCAAAATGAAAGTTTTCAGGCCACACATACATTCACAATCACCACAACTACTGATGGAGGCACTCTATACATATTCCGTGTCCAGTTCAAAGTTGTGTGAACTTGCCAGAATCCTTCTCCTAACTCAGAAAAGCACAGAAATTACAGTGGAGTAAGAATGAGGCTGTCAGAGAAAGAACTCAGAACTATTCTGTTTTTTAAAAAAGTAGATATTTGGCGAACTTCAGCAGCTCATTTTTAGTATCAAATTCCTTATGATGTACCTGAGAATTGATAGGAGCAAGCTAGAACCACACAGCAGCCTTTGGGGGCCTTGGGATTTTGGGGCCACCCCCCACCCAGCATGTGGTATGTGAAGCCCTTCACAACCTCACCAGGCCAGCTGCTTTCTTCCACCTCACACACCTGTTCTGAGTACTCGCTGCTCGCCAAATGTCACTTCCCAGCCAACCATGGTGGCTTACACCTATAATTTCAGCACTTGGGGAGGCTGAGATGGGAGGACTGCCTGGGCCCAGAAGTCTGAGACCAACTTGGACAACACAGAGAGACCTCATATCTACAGACATTTTTTTAAATAGCTGAGCATGGTGGTATGCACTTGTGGTCCCAGCTACTTGGGAGACTGAGACAGGAGAAGGGCTTGAAACCAGGAGGTCGAGGCTGCAGTTAGCCGTGATCATGCCACTAAAGTGCAGCCTGGGCAACACAGTGAGAGCCTGTCTCAAAACAAGAAGTTACTTCCCTTTCCCTCTTCTGTGCCTTTGAATGTGTTTGCACTCATCAATAATTTGATTGCTGCCCGATGCCAAGAGGCCAGGGAGAGAAGCAGAGCAAAGGCCCCTCTTGCCTCCAGGAATGAAGAGGACCTGGCTCGGGGCACATTCCAAGGGCTGGGCACTGTTCTCTCACTTCACTGGATTACCATGCTGGATTCTTACAGTCTCCTTGTTCTGTCCAGATTGCCTCCGTTTTACAGATGAGAAAACTGAGTCCTGGGAGAAGTGAAGAAACTCTCCTAGTTCATGTGATGAATATGGGAGAGGCAGAAATCAAGCCCAGATGGCTGAACTCCAGAATTGGTTGCAAAAGCCCAGTGAGGGAGCCGGGGAGACGTGGTCAGGGCCACCCCACTCTTGGGGGCCTCTGGAGCAGGGTTTCTCAAATTTTTGTCCTTATTACTCCCTTTCCAGTTGCCTTTTTACATATTTTTTCCTAATCTCTCCATATGAAACTTTAATATCACAGCTAAGCTATACATCTGTTTATGTACTGTATTCGTATCTGTATTTGACACATACTCTTTGACACCTCAAGAATCAATGTTTTCCCCGTGGGGTTGATAACACCCCATTGACAGCTCACACCTGGGGAGCCTGGGCTTCAGCTCGTTTGACTCACTGTGGCCCCATCAGGGGAGAAGATGACTCTACCTGGTAAGTTCTGAAAAGATGGGACATCCAAGCTCATAGGATCTGCCACACACCCACTCCCTAGGATCTCGAAGACAAAGCCCACGCTTCTCCACAGTGGGGTGGAGAATACAGGATTTGGCATCAGAAGGTCTTGGTTTCAAACTAACCTAAAGCTCTTACAAGCTGTGTGACCTAGACTTGGGAAACCAATATTCATTCACTTGTTTATTCCATCACTCATTCAAAAAATACACAACATACAAGCAATACAAAATAAGCCAGTTGCAAAAGATAAAGTGTTGTGTACAAAATATGTATTCTGTATGCCCGTAGGTGTATTGAAAATATTTTAAAAGATACACAAAGTGCTTCTAAATAGTGGCTTCCTCTGGAGGTGGGATTGGGGTGGGGGTGAAGAGGGAATTTTCTTGTTACTTTGTAACATTCAATTCTGTCTGATTGCCTCTACAATTAGCATGAATTATATTGATAATAATATAGAGAGAGACACAGATATCAAAGCTGCGTTTCTGAGATGGCCCCTGGGCTTAAATGGGATAATGTATGCTTTTGTCTTTGCACAGCACTAGGCACCTAAATATCTATTATTGACCTTCATACTCTTTCAGGCTGCTCTTAGATAAGAGAAGGATTTGCCTCTTTGCACGAACAGGCAGAGATAACATCCAAATATTTATCAATCATATGGAATGCTATGGGGTTCAACTGTGTCCCCCCCAAATTTTTAAGTCCTAACATTCAGTTCCTCTGAATGTGACCACAATGGGAAATTGGGTCATTGCAAATGTAATTAGTTAAAATAAGGTCATATTGAATAGGGCGAGCCCCTTACCCAATAAGGACCGGTTTTCTTATAAAAAGGGGAACTTTGGGCCAGGCGCAGTGGCTCACGCCTGTAATCCCAGCACTTTTGGGAGGCCGAGTGGGGCAGATCACTTGAGGTCAGGAGTTCGAAACCAGCCTGGCCAACGTGGCAAAACCCCATCTCTACTAAAAAGACAAAAAAAAAAAATTAGTGGCATGGTGGCGCACACCTGTAATCCCAGCACTTTTGGGAGGCTGAGTGGGGCAGATCACTTGAGGTCAGGAGTTCGAAACCAGCCTGGCCAACGTGGCAAAACCCCATCTCTACTAAAAAGACAAAAAAAAAAAAAAATTAGGGGCATGGTGGCACGCACCTGTAATCCCAGCTACTTGGGAGGCTGAGGCAGGAGAATCGCTTGAGCCCAGGAGGCAGAGGTTGCAATGAGCTGAGATCGCACCACTGCACTCCAGCCTGGGTGACACAGCAGGAATCCATCTCAAAAAAAAAAAAAAAAAAAAAAAAAGTCGGGGGGGATATTTGGAGAGAGACACAAGCAGAGAGAACACAATGTGAAGATGAAGGCAAAGGCCAGGGTGGTGCCCCCACAAGCCAAGGAATGCCCTAGGGAGTCAGCAAAGCCCCAGAAGCTGGGAGAGACACCTGGAATGATTCTATCTTAGCCTCAGAAGGAACCAACCCTGTTGATCTGAATGTCAGGCTTCTGGCCTCCAGAACCATGAGGCAACACATTTCTGCCATGTACCGTATTCCATTCATGGTACTTGGTTACAGCAGCCTCGGGAAACTAACCTCTAGCAAGCACCAACCCCTAGTGTGGCCCAGAGCTAGAGCAGAGCATCGGGGCAAAGTCCTACAGAGCTCCAGTGGTGCCCGGTGGCACCTTTGTAATTTTTCTATTGTTGTGGGGGATGGTCTCAGAAAACAATCTGAGTGTTGGGGGAGGTGACTAGGGGGACTTAAGGGGGCAGCTATTTACCAACTGCTAAAACATATTACAATTTTTTAACAATATATACTGTGGCACCAGAGGGAACTAACTAAATATCATCGTGGTAACAGGCCCTGCAATAACATGAAGCACATTAGTCGCAAAGCAAAACTCACCGGTGGGCCCCTTGGTCCTTGGGGACCCTGTGGCCCAGTGGGTCCAGTGTCACCCTGGAACAAAGAGAGAAAGGTGGTGTCATCACCAAGTAGCTGTGTGAAGATGATGGCATCACAATTTCAAATATTAACCAAACCTCGCCAAGTTACCCAAAGGAACCAACAAACTGTTCAGCATGTTTCATCATCAATTGTCCATTATTCCAAATATGAACAAACTCCCTTCCTGTGGGTGAGTAAATGCACGCAAGCCCGCATTTGTGCATCCATTTATTCAGTTACTTTTTAGACATATGCATAGGGCTCCACACATTAGACTGATCTTGTAAAACAGATTCCACAGCTAAGAAAGCACATGTGAACTAGATCAGATTTCTTCTAAGTATCCTTTCCGGCTCCACCATTTCTGGGAGCAGATCAGCCACAGGGACCATGTGCTCTGGTGTGTCAAGAGCCATTGGGGAAGAGTCCACTTCATCAATTTAAAGGCAGATCCTGAAGGACCCATATGGTGGGCATGAGACCACTTTGTACCTCAGTACCTGGTGCCTCTGCGTCTGACCAAACGGCCAGTTCCATGATGCCACTCTGCATCCCATATGTCTAGCCACCCTGCAGGATGCCATATGCAAAGGGCTGGTCCCTAGGGGATGTGGAGCTGCTGGATTCTGGACTCCAGGTAAGCTATTCCTGCCTCTGACTCTCTGGGTGACCATAAGTCAGTCCCTTAATCTCTCTAGATCTCAAATTTTTCATTTGTACACCTGGGGTCAAAATTTCCCTTGTTTTGGATGGGCACAGTGGCTCACGCCTATAATCCCAGCACTTTGGGAGGCCAAGGCAGCTGGATCACCTGAAGTCAGCAGTTCAAGACCAGCCTGACCAACAAGGTGAAACTCCATCTTTACTAAAAATACAAAAATTAGCCAGGTGTGGTGGCAGGCACCTCTACTCCCAGCTACTCAGGAGGCTGAGACAGGAGAATTGTTTGAACCCGGAAGGTGGAGGTTACAGTGAGCTGAGATCACAACACTGCACTCCAGCCTGGGTGATGGAGTGAGACTCCTTATTCTGCTGAGATACCAACACCAAATAAAAGGGAGAGCCATTCAAGCGGTGTACAATTAACACAGCACATGGTGGTGGCAGTGAGGAGTGTTTAGTTTCTTTGAGCACTGCAGAGCCCGAGAGATGGAGAAATAATCCGGGAGAAACTCTGAAATGCCTCTCAAGTCCATTTAAGGCTGGACCCAACAGGCCTATCATTTGTACCAGTGGACAAATCACGACTGATCCAGAAAAGCTTCCTTATCAACCATAAAGCCCAGGTACCCACCCACTAGGCTGGAGGCTCCAATCTCATCCTTGCCAACCAATCCTGTGACGTCATCTGTGTGCCTCTTGGCAGTGCTGCCACCAACCACTGTGGGGCAGTTTCTGGGTGTCACTTCCTTGATACCCCCAGCCCCAGCCCAGCCAGGCCCCATAGGACCCCACTTACATCTTTTCCTGGTAACCCTTCCTGACCAGGAGGCCCCATGGCACCAGGCTCTCCCTAGGAACAAAAAGGCCTGCCATTAGGGAAGGAGATGCTTCAGCCACTGGCTGCCTCAACCACAGGGGCATCTGAGGAGCTGGGAGAGGTGGAGAGACCCAGGGGCCCCGTCAACTTCTGTACGCAGAGCCTGGCCCTGAGTTGACGTCTGGGGCGCACCCAAGGCCAGCTGTGAGTGCCTGGAGCCATGCTGTGCCTCTCTGTGCAGCTCAGGCAAGGAAGAACAGCAGCTGAAGGCTCTGGCATATACGCTTGGAGCGCTGCCTCCTCATCTGCTCATGCACTTGACCCTCTCTACACCTGCTTTGCTCCTTGGTGACTAGATCATGCAAGGGATCCAACCAGCTGACCCCTAATGTCACTTCCATTCTGGGCATTCAGAGGAGACAGAGGAGTTAAAGGATAAGAAAATAGTTTCTGGAGTCTTCCCATCCAGGGTAAAAGTGATGCTTTTCATATATAAGATCTAGGACCTTGGGAAATTACCCATGTCCTCTGGGCTTCAGTTTCCTCCTCCACAAAATGAACATAATAGCAGCAACCGCCTCACAAGGCTCAGGGCTGACGTGTATGACACACCTGAGTCCAGACTGATTCGGCCAAACTGGTTGGCCATGATAATGTCTGGACCCCAGAAAAACCACCTGAGGGAATTAGGCCAAGAGGTGGGGATGGTGCATCCAAGGTGTCCCTGTGCTGGCCTGTTCCATGCTGGTGTGCTCCGTGTCCTCTCTCGGGTAAGGCACTGTCATGGCCTGCAGGCTGCAAGAACCATCTGTCTGGGAAGTGTAAGCTCTGCCCACCTCAGGGGACCTCCAAAGAGGCGCCCACTTACTCGGGGACCAGGTGCACCAGAATCGCCTGTGTGTCCCTTGAAGCCCTAGAAGGAAGAGAATGGAGTTACCCCATGACAGAGCAGACTCTTGGGGCAGAAGGCAGGCATCCCTCCCCGCCTGCTTTGACCCACATTGCCCCCACTCATTCTTTACCATTTGCAGGATACTGAGCCCTACTTGGTGCCACACTTGGTGCCAGAGGTTTGACGGCTGGACACCAAGAGCCCTTCCTCCCAGCCCCCTCTGTACTGTGGGCCGCGCTGCCAGGCCTCATCCCACAAATGCCTCGGAGTGTCGGGGCGTTGCCCTACTGGTTCAGGTGTCTCCTGCACTCCTTGTTCCTCCTGATTGTTCCAGGCTCACAGCACATGGCTTGACCGGCCCCTCTCTGCACGGCTCCTGAGTCAGGTGATTCCCTTGTAGGGAACATCGCTTTCACCCATAGTTAGGTCCTGTGGCCCCTTCCTTGTTCCTGTGGCCATTGCTGGTCCTACTAACACCCCTGAGTACGTTCAGCTCTGGGAGTTACACCCCGAGTCATAGCGCTGGGGTCTCCTTGTCCAGAGTTGCACCTCGGAGGCATATTACCTGAAGCTCCGCTACAGAGCTTCGGGCCTTGTGAGTGAAGATTAAACCATTAGCAGAGCTGAGACCATCATTTTTAATCTCCAGACCAATCTGACAGTGTGGAAATCCTCACCTGGTGGATGTAAAGCTAAAGCTCAAGGATAAAAAAATGCCCGCCTGGCATAGCTTTGCAGTATTAAACTATGGAAAGGATTGCCATATGCTCTTAAGTTTCATGGAACTGCGCTGACTTCGGAGTTAGGTCTGGGATGGGCCATGGCTCCCACTTTGTAGCTGTGGGATCTTGGGAGCTCTACTTCTCTTCTCTGGGACTCAGTTTCCACACCTGTAAAATTAGGATAGAACCTACTTCTGCAGAGTTGCCATCAGGACTGAATAAGACTAAATAAGGACTGCACAGTGCTCTCCAGTTGCTCAAAACTGTCCAGCTACAGTTCCCTGGAGAGGGCTGGGGTTTTCGTGGGGCTCCGCATCTTCCTTAAGGACTCCAGAATTCCAAATTCAGCCAGCCCAGAGGAAGAGACTCTGGTGTGCTCTCTTCCCATCTAATCATGACAAAAGCACCAACGGGGGGAGCCACACTCAATGAGCCAGGCACTCTGCTGGGAATGTCACATGTCTAACCTTCTTCTTTAGTACTTATAACAACTCTGCAAGAATGGGAGTCATTATGACTGCCGTTTCACAGAAGAAGACACAGGGGTTCAGAAAGGTCCTCGTTGCGACCAAGGTCACAAAGTCAATACATGACAAAGTAAAGGCTGAATCCAGGTCTTTCTATCTGAAAACCACTCCATTCTACAAAGCTTTATCCTGACTTATTCTATGTCAGCCAGACGAACTTGGTCTTCTTTTCCCTGCCTGGCTTTCAAACCTCAGTACTTTCATTACAACTCCCAGTTGAGAGATGGGTCTTGCCCCCAATACAGGTGCCATGGGTTTCCCGGCTGAAAGGGAGCCCCTGTCACTCCAGGAACCACCTTTAATCAATTGATCACTAGCTCAGTGTTGCAATCCCCATAAGAGGTAATATTCCTTATTCTCGGGTGTTTTCTGGTGCAATCATGTGAAAAACCAGGGGATTTAGGAAAACAGAAAACTTATTTTTGTATTTTATTTCCTTCTTATTGAATACTAGCCAGAAAGTTGATTTTTAAAAAGAAAAACATGAAGAAAACAGAGCTAGGATTTTGATCTGCTGGATAAAATCCAGATAATTTTAGGATAATCATTTAAAATCATATTTTTTTCTAAAAGCAATTTAAGAAATTGTGAAAACAATTTTGAAATTATGAATAGATGAAACACTTAGCAATAAAATCCAATAACCCTAAAATACATAGAGTTCATTTTTGTAGGTAAATAGTATCTGTATCTGTTTATATGTATAATAGCTAGATAGCTAGATATAGATGTACATATATAGACGCTAGAGTTCATATATAGAAAAAAGGACTAGAAAAAATACACTGAATATTAAAAACTTTACTTCTCTGTTGTAGAATTAGAAGTAAATTAATTTTCTTCTCTATACCATTTTTTGTGTTCTTTTTCTTATTATTACCATCATCATTACTATTAATACCACTAGGCAATGAGAATGGGTTACTTTTACAATTGGGAAAAAACCTTAGCTATGGAAAGTGTTCAAAACTAAAATTAAGATTCATTTCTAGGCTCTATTATCCAGAGAAAACCCATTGAAATTATAATAAATTAGATAAGAACAAAGAAAACTTTTAGCAACAACAAGGTAATGGCTGCAATTGTGAAAATGAATTTCACAGCTATGTAGTGTGACAAAGCTGAATTGACTGCACAGAAGCACAGCCGTCTGGAGGAGAAGGACTTCCAGGACCCCATGATCGGGCAGTCTGGGCTAGCCCTGCCCACAGTGGTGAAAGCCATGTAACTGATGGGCTTGGTTCTACTGTTCCCAACACACATTGCACACTTACAGGTGGGCCTCGGGCACCCTCTGGTCCTGGTAGACCCGGCTCTCCTGCTTTGCCCTGAGAGTAGGAAGAAAAGAAGAGTTTGAGAACAACATTGTAAGAATCTTCCTATTCCTGGCTCTCTGTGTTTCCTACCATTCTATTCCCACAAGCCAGTCTCTGTCCACCCTGTCAGCCCTTTCCCCTGGCGTCTTGGTCCATCTTAATCTACACAGATCTCCACCATGTATTCAGGCCTATTATATTCCTGGTTTTCCTGGGATGGTGCTGGTTACACAGGTTTCATCTCCAAATTAATGATGCCTAGTACCCCCCCTTTCACTATCAGAAGCATCTTCGTGTGGATGAGAAATTATATGGCCATCTTAGCTTCATAGATGACTTTATGCCCACTTGCAAAAAACATGTCAAGGCTGTTATTAACACTTGCACTTTACCGATGGCAACACTGAGGTTCAAAGAAGTTATATTTTTATGAAGCTATTAAATAGCAAAGACAGGCTGAATTCCAGCTGAGTGCCACACCCAAGCAGATGCTGTTTCCAGGTCAGCCGCAGTACATACTGGCAGGGTGACCTGTGACATACACAGCCTTTTACTCACCCCATCATCTTAAAAGAGCTTGTCAGAACACTTTTGTTATTTAAAATTCTTTACTGCCCACAGCTTGGCATTGCCCTGCACAGAACCAAACCAGGAATAGAAGACAACTAGAGGCTTGGCAACTTAGGTCCATATAAATTGAAGATGGGGTCAGGGGAAGAATGAGGGGAGGAGGGGCAGAGGAAAGTAGATGAAAGGCTAAGTTTGATGGATGGGCAGAAGGGGCAGCACGTTGGGCCTGGAGGACATGCCTGTTCCCAAACATTCTGTCCACCTCATGTTTACAAGTTATAAACCTCGGAAATTATATGCAGCCCATTATTAGGGAGCAGGGAGAGAAAGGAACATCCTTGGATTTAGGAAAAAAAAAAACTATAGAAAGAAGGGTGGGGCCTAAAGCCCTGACTTCCAGGTTTGCCTGTTTCTTAGTTTAGTTGCGTGATCTTAAAGTGTCATTTCCTTTCTCTGGATCTCTGAGTCTGTAAATTTGGGACAGTCCTCCCTTGTAGGTCTTTGTGATATAGGGTGTACATAGCCTGGCTCCTGCCTCAGAGTCAACTGTCATGGCCATCACTGGCCCAAGGCACCAGCAGAAAAATGGAACAACCAGTAGCTACTGAAGGTTTTCACTATGATGTCACTGACGCCTGACTCTTGTTAACCCTCAGGCAAAACAATGAGGCACATAGAGGTTCAGTCATCTGCTCAAGGTCACACAGCTTGGGTTCTATTCCAGGCATTTTGGTTCTAGAGTCTGCACTTCATCCTACCCTATAATTAATGCTCAAATATCTCTTAATAAAAATTAAGCAAGAGGCAACACAAAAGGCTGTCTATATATCCATGTGTATCCATTCATCCATCCATCCATCCATCCATCCATCCATCCATCCATCCATTCAACCATCCATCCATCCATCCACCCATCCATCCAACAATCCATCCATCCATCCATCCATCCATCCATCCATCCATCCAATCCTCCCTCCATCCCTCCACCCCTCCATCCATCCATCCTATGTTCTATTTATCCGGTTGGTCTGTCTAACCATTTGTGCTCCTCCCATATACAAACTCTGAATGGGCAAGTCAATTTGAAGAGGGGCCACCGAGTACCTGTAGCAGATGCTGCCGTTTTCCAACCACATCCCCTGGGGCCCACCCAGGAAAGTGCCTGCCCCCTTGTGGAGCAGTTCCTGCATAGGTTGAAGGGCAGATATAGAATGAAGATGTTCCCTGACCCTAGAGGATGCTTGACTTTGAGGTGTGGAAGGCCCAAGTGCAGGGAAGTCAATGCCTCCAGGAGCAGTCAGAGGATCCCCAGTGAGACTGGGCCCCAGCCTGGAGTCACCAGTTGCCAGCCTCCCTTTCCTTCTTTCCCAGTTCCATTCCCTTCGTCCCTCCATCACTGGTTCATGGGATCACCTCCTAAATACTCTACCTGCATCAAATTAGGCATTGAATAGACAGACTGAATGAAGACCAGTGTCCTCAGTTATTCTGAACTGTAAACAACAGCCCCTTAGCATAATACACGTTCGGCAGAAAGGTCAATGCACTGCTCTGCAGCAGCAAACTCCGGGGTCAGCCTCCAGGAGTGTGAGTCCTGGATGCTTCATTTACCAGCCCTATGCCCTTGATCAAGCTATCATCCTCTTTGTGTCTTAGTTTCTTCATCTGGGAGAAATAATGGTACCCACAGCCCATAAGGTTCTTCTGGGGACTACAGTGGAAAAATGTAAAGAAGTGCTCAGTGTCCCCCCCAGGGGCACACACAGTTGCTGTCAGCCACGGTGTAATATGTGTGCTTCTCTCTACCCTTTCCATATTTTTGCCCAGGCTGAATGCCATTTGCCCACCATGGGCAGCTCTGCTGGGTGCCCATCAGAGCACCTCATCGAGACTTTTCAATTTGCTCAGCTGCTAAAAGCTCTTTCTTTTGCTGTCAGCAGTGAATTTTGGTTTCAGCATCTGGCAAACAGTGTAAAATGATAAAGAAGGTGCTTCCAGCAAGTTGCGTGAGATTCAGAATGAGTCATAATAGTTTATGATCAAACAAATTAAATGGAACATAAACCTCACTGTAGAAACTTTTATGTAGTTCCACTTAGTGGTTCTAAAGGCTCTGCAGTTCTAGCCTCACCAGGAGCCACAACTAGGGTAGTTGGGAAACGTAGCTTACTAAAATAATTGATAGTTAGATAAGCCTGATGCATTTAACACATTTTCTACATTACATGATTAACCAGCAACTCTGGCAAATTGGTATATTATTCTCATTCTATTTCAGAAGAAACTGAAGCTCAGAGATGCTTTCTGACGCACTCAGATCACAAAACCTAGTAAGGAGTGGGGCCAGAATCCAAAGCCAGCTTTTATTGCTATTGTTATTATTGTTGTTGTAATTTTGGCATAAAATAATTTTATTTAATCACTATATTTTAAATTCAATTTTATCAATAAGTAATGCATACTCATGGCTCCAAAAAATTAAGAAGATAACCGTAAAATAAAATACCATGGAATAGAAAGTTGTCTTCCTACTGCTATGTCCCCGTGTTTGACAATCATCCTCCCATGGACAGGAACTACTTTTATGGGTGTTTTATGGAGTCTTCCAGAGTTCCTTTAGATAAACACTGAAAAAAAATAGGCCCACAACTATTTTTATACAAAATAGGACAGACTATACACATTGTTTTACTCTTTGCTTTTCTACTTCACAATCTATGTAGGAGCAGTTCTGCATCCGTATCTAGAGAACATCCTCATTCGTTCTGACGGCTCTTGATATTCTATGGTGTGGACAGCTCATCATTTAACTAGTCTCTTACTGGTGGGCATTTGGAGAACCCAGGTCTCTAAACCACTGATGCCATCCTTCATCTTCCCCTTGGTGTAGTGTCTGTGAAAGGGCTTTGGGAAGACATAAGAGCTGCTAGGAACCAATGAATCATCATCATGATGAATCTCTGATCCATAGGCAAGAAGGACTGACCAAGCTCAGTGAGCACAGCTTTGAAGTCACAGATTTGGGTCTTTGGAAATCCCTGCACATTCCCAACTAACAGCTACTGGGGCCAGCTACCGAGACATTCTCACTAGCACTTGTTCCATCTCACTGTGTGTCCCTGGACAGCTGACATTAGAGAAAACCAAAACCGAAACCAAAATGAGAAAAATCTATGCCAGAGTTACAAGTATGTGCGTGTGTGTGTGTGTGTGTGTGTGTGTGTGTGTGTGTGTGTATGCAATCCCACAGTGTCTGGAGCTAGCAGGTCCAACTCAGATTTTACTAGAATATCCTGGTCTCTCCAGATATCAGCTTTCTCCTCCAGGCCATGCTTATCTACTTCAGGTTCCTCTACCAAATCAATAGGATTGAGGCTACAGGGGGCAGTACAGCAAAATGTGGAACAGGGACAGGAGCCCTGAGCTCAGGTTCAGAATCTGTCACCAGCCCATCATGTGACTTTGGGGCCATTTCACCTCCCCGAGGCCCAGGTTTCTTCTGCTTTAAAATGGGGACAGCAGTGTTTACCATGCAGGGTTGTCGGAGTATATAAATGAAATAATGCACAGAAAATGCCTATCTTCGAACCTGGTTCAAAGTAGCTCCCCACACAAAGTAGTTGTTATTGACGTGTAATGGATTTGGTATGTGATATAATAGGAAGTTTAGAGTCCTTTACCGGCTCTCCAGGGGGACCTGGCTTTCCATCTCTGCCTTCTTTGCCTTCTTCTCCCTGCAAGAGAAACTCAAATTGGTTATCAGGTCAAAGAAGATTCAAGGGGATGGAAAGACAAAGGCAGTTTCAGCACGTCTTTCAGCCCAGCTTCCAGCAGTTGCATTCACAGCTGGCAGCTAAGGCAGCGTCTCGACAGATGGAATTGTTCTGATTTCCTGGTTTCTTTCTTAACACCAAGATTCTGGCTGTGGATCTCTGACTTGCAGTATCTGGCACACAGTGGGAAAGCAATACATTTTGCAATAGCATTATTATGATTGCTATTGACCTAAAGAAGCCTCTCCCGGGCATTTTCATGAATTCAAGTGTAGAACATGAGAGCCCGGTGTCTGGGCCTCATGGGTGAGCACAGTGATGGGTGACGGGGGAATGTGGATGCCGACAATGATAATGAGGACATTCAATAACACGCAGGAAGGTACTCAGCATGGTTTACCGCCGTGAGCACAGGAGGAGCTCGGTGAATGACACAGCAAGGAGCACCTTTGGGTCACAGAAAGGCTATAACATTGTTCATTTCTTTCCTTGAAGTGGAAACAGAGTGATAAAGAAACAGAACAAAGCTGGGGCTGTTCACAAGGTGCCAGGGAAGTAACAGGGCCCAGTCTTTGGCTTAAGCCTAAGGACAAAGGTGAGCAGAGGGAAGTAACATGATCAGATTTCCATTGGAAGGAAAGAAAGGATGGGGGAGGGAGGAAGAAGGGTGGGAGAGAGAAATTGATATTTTTAAGAAAATAGCATAATCATAGGTAGGTTGTATCTCTCTTCTCCAGTACTCTAGAACTTTGATAAGGGGTTAACACAAAATTCAAATTGGAGTTTTCTCTCCTTAGCTTTACCACTGCTAAAATTAAATCAATATATATTTCCTAGCTGCTATGGCATCCTAGTCTCCAGAGTTGCAGTTCATACCAACATCCCGGCATGTCACTTCAGATCTGTGTGCCCTAGACAAGTTACTTAACCTCCAGGTTGCAGAGTTACAGACAGGACTGTCAGTGATGCCCTGGAAATGCCTTCTTGATCAATGGCAGTACATATCAGATACTGTAGGAGAAAGAGCTCTAAGAAGCGATTCATTCATACACACGTTCCTTTCGTCAATATTTGCTGTGTGCTCATTATGTGTGGGGACTCAAGGCTAAACAAAAGCAGATGTAGTTCCAGCTCATGCAGAACCTACAGCACAGAATATGACCCCGTGATTAATTACCACACATGCTTCAATGTTATGTCCTCAGATCTAACAAACAGAGGTGTTTGTTGAATGAGTGATTCAACCAGACCAATGAATAATGGGAGAACTAATCAATCCATTACATCAATAAAAATGCAATCACCAGATGAGATAAGCACTTGGAAGAAAAGGAAGAGAGAACCTCTCCTAGCCTGGCAGGGAGCAGGGAAGGAAGTGATAGCTGAGACCAGATGGGGAAGATCAAAGGCATCTACTAGTGAAAGAAGGGAAGAGGCACCCAGTAGCCTGGGAAGGGGTGTAGAGTGTGGCAGGAGAGAATTCCGCGCATTCCAGGAACCAAAAAAAAAAAATCCAGTGTGGCTGGAACAAAACAAGGCACAGCGGAGAGTGGGGTTGGGGGAACTGTAAACAGTAAGTGCTACAGCAGCAGGCAGAGGCCAGACAAAGAACCACAAAAGAATTTACTCTCAGTGCAGAAGGCAGTGCGTGGCCTTTGTGGAGGAATTTATTACAAATGCCTTGAACAGCTCGACTCTAATGAGAAGGATACTAAATTGAAAAGTTCAGGATAACATCTTTGGAAAGCAATTTTGCAGTATGTATCAAGAATCTTAGATGTTTCTCTACTATGGCAAGCCAATCATATTTTGGAGGATCATCATAAAGAAATTTTTTAAATGCTATGCATACAAAATTGTCCATTGTAGTTGCTTTTTAAAATAATTGTGAAGTTTATGAGGCAACTGAGAAATGATCATATATATTATGGTACATCCATTGTATATATCACATGTAAAGTTCATGAACATTTAACACTAGTCTGGGAAATGGAAAATGTTTACATTACCACAAATAGTTAATTATCACAGTTTTATATATATGTGTGTGTGTGTTTTGTTTTAACAATATAAACATATATATATGTACACATACATATATATGTAGAGACAGAGAGAAAAATTACTATTTAAATAAGAAACAACTAATATATGCCTAAAAGAAGCACAAGATTAAGACTGATTCTACCCAAATTTTAGTTGGCTTTGACTGATAAACAAGTTAGTGATTATTTTATTTCTAGTTTTCTACAACATTCAAAATTCCACTAGTGGCCAGGACTTGTTTTGACAGCAGAATATATTTTTGTTTCCTTGTTTTTATAAAAAGAAACTAGGTTGTGTTTGTTTGTTTGTTTGTTTGTTTTTATAAAAGCCACTTACTGGGATTCCAGGTAATCCAGATGGGCCTTGGGGGCCAGGAGGGCCTTCTTTTCCCTAAAAGATCCAAGACATAAAAACACCATGAAAACCTTTGCTGGCTTTTTTGGAAGTAAATGACTGACTTCACACGGAACTGCATTCATGGGTTTGGGGAGTGAGTGGTAAGAAACAAAGGGTGCTTCTGTATCAGCCTCATGGCTTTCTGAGCTGTGTTTCCCCCAAGGCAGTCAGGTTCCCTGGGACTGAGCATAGTCACCCCTCTTGGTACACACACTAGGACTCATTCTGGCCATATTATTAATACACAGGCTTAGGGAAAACTGAATATTGGAATGCCTGTGGGAAGAAGCTATTGGGGTTTTAGTATCCACAAGACCTGAGTCCAGATCCAACTCTGTATTTGTCCCCAGACTTCCTGAAGTTCACACTCTCTACCCATATAGCATATACCTCAGGACCTTGAGGTGTTGTGCATACAGAACTGTACACAAGTGGGGAGAAGACCGGTGGCATGCATAGTGGATAGTTTATTATTTTCATCATTTTTTCCAGAGGCTCTTACATGTTTTACCAATAATTGCTTTACTCTCTCTTTTCTTGTATTTGAAAAACTGTTGTACCAAATTTCATTAATTAATATTTTATTTCCCATTTTATTCATCAAAGACTTACATAAGTATCAATCAGAGCTTATAAATCAGTATTATCTAATCAGTGCCCTAATTCCTATCATGGTGAGTATTATCATATCACCCCGTGTCTTTATCGTGAGTATTTAGAGCTGACAACTTTCTAATCTCCTACTAGTATTTACTGGGAGATAAGACACGGATGCCAGGTTTTACATTCTAATTCACATGCCAACAAAATGAGGTATTCTTAAGGTTTAGGCCAATGCATCATAACTACCAGGAAAAAATAAAATATTCACCCCTCCCCACATCACAACACCTACAAACACATAAGAAAATTAAGTGGATATTTTTGGTCAACCTGAGACAAAGATAGAGCTATTATTAGAGATTTTTAATTATTGATAATGGAGCTTCCTGGGTTCCTTTCTGGATGCTTATTTTTCAAATTCCCTAGTGTGGAAACACCAGTGATCTAGGACTGGAGTCAGCAAACTCCAGCCCATTACCAGATTTGTTAAATGAAGTTTTATCAGAACACAGTCACACCCACTGGTTTGCATGTTGTCAAAGGCTGATTTTGCATTAAGTGTTTGCTAATTGGTTCTTTATGGAAAAAGTTTGCCAAGTACTGTGTTAGACCATTCTCTTAAAACTCAGGTGAGGAAGGCATGGTCCCATAATAAGAATGTGGCAGATCCAGGAAAGAACTCCACCTCTGACTCCCTGTTCAGTCTTCTTGCCATCACTAGACTTTTATTTATTTAGAAACCAATTCCATTGGCAGAGAAGCTGAAAATTAAAGCATGGTAGACTCTTAACCAACCTCCACTTGACCAGCCCCCATTATAAACCAGCTTCCCCATCCTCTCCAAACACCCATGCCTGGTCACAACACTGCAGTACACCCTTGCCTGCAGTACACCCTTGCTTGACTGTTCCTACCGGATGAGTTGAAGGCTTGCAAGGGGTCAGTGTGCTTGTTCCTAAGCCTGTTTGCATCAGTTATTTGCTATGAAAGTCATACAATTGTTGATTAAACAATCCAGTAAAATTTAGGTGGAAAAAAGAATACACTTTTTATGGAAGTTAAGGCAGGGTTTTGAAGACACTGGCCAAAAGTGAGTCATTCAGCACTCACCATCTAAATCGATATAGCTATAATATAAGACACCTACAAAAGATTAGGAAAAAATTTCTAAAAAATCTAGAACTCCACATTCATATTGTTACACATATGTTGTTATATTTTCAAACCGCTTTTCAAAACATAACAAAAAGTGATCAGTGGATATTCTTTTTACGTGACTGATGACAAGGGACTCCATTCATTACCAAAAATCAAAGCAAAGGCCTTAATTTTGTGTCAAAAAGTCTGCCAAACACTTTGTCTTTTAATTCAAAATATAACAGAACTAAGGTTTGTATGTATCTTTTTATTATAATTTTGCCCCCATTTACCTTTAAAAATTACTTCTATTGTCTGGGCGCCATGGCTCCTGCCTGTAATCCTAGCACTTTGGGAGGCCAAGGTAGGAGGATCACTTGAGGTCAGGAGTTCAAGATCAGCCTGGCCCACATGGTGAAACCCCATCTCTACTAAAAATACAAAAAATTGTCGGAAATAGCTTGAACCAAGGAGACAGAGGTTGCAGTGAGCCGAGATCATGCCACTGCACTCCAGCCTGGGCAACAAGAGTGAGACTCTGTTTAAAAGAAAAATAAAAAAAAATTACTTCTATTTTGAAACTACCAATGCTCACTGGGCAAAGAAAACTTACACTATATTCTGGTTTGACAGTTATGGTAAAGTTTCAGCACCACGGACAGCTTCAAGTGCTACCATAGCTTGAGGAGCAGTCCCATGACAGAATCAAAATCTTATTTAGTACAGTTTCATTCCTAAGAATGTCATAGTTTTATATCAGAGATCCACATCTTTTTTTTTTTTTTTTTTTTTGAGACGGAGTCTCACTCTATTGCCCAGGCTGGAGTGTCGTGGCGCAATCTTGGCTTACTGCAACTTCCGCCTCCTGGGTTCGAGCGATTCTCCTGCCTCACCATCCCGAGTAGCTGGGACTACAGGAATGTGTTACCACACTCAGCTAATTTTTTGCATTTTCAGTAGAGACAGGGTTTCATTGTGTTAGCCAGGATGGTCTCAATCTCCTGACCTTGTAATCTGTCCACCTCGGTCTCCCAAAGAGCTGTGATTACAGGCGTGAACCACTGTGCCCAGCCCAGTATATTTTATATTTTATTCATCCTGGGACTTCTAGATGGGTGGCTTCAAGAGGATTGACCAGATGAGCATCCTAAACAGAACCAGGTGGCTGTGATTTTTCAGACTCAGCATCCCTCTGGCTGCCTGGACCACCCACACGGTGGGTCAATGTGGAATAGCAGAAGGAGCACTGAACTGAGAAATCTCAAATTGACTCAACTCCCAGCTTGGACACTAATTTCCTGTATGACTCTGACCAAGTGACATAACCCCATGGGACTCTGACCTCCTCCTTTGACATGGAGGAAGTCTTATTAAGTAATAATGTCCTTTGCACATGCCCTTCACACAGAACTCCAGAGCTACCAGGGTAGGGATGGCCTGCTTGCTAGCTGGCCTTGGAATATGATGGTGAGATTCCTGTGGCCTAGGAATTGTGCCTGGTTCTAACGTTCCCTCACTGTGTGACCCTGAACTGGACATTTCAATTCTCCAATTCCCACTTTCCTTATTTATAAAATGGTGATAATGATTCACGGCCTTTCTAACTTACAGGGCTGAAGTGGGAGGAGCTGTCAGATGAGGTAAGGAATGTTTATGTACTGTATATTCATTTACATGCCATGCATGTATTGGCTAATAACATAATACCTACTAAACTGTGGTTCACCCTTTATGGCATTGAAACCAAGAACGGTTCTGGCAACTTCACGAAATGAAATCTGGATTTTGAGATAAAAGCCTTGGGTTCAAAAGCCAACTCCACTAGTTATGGTTTGAGGTCCTTGACTAGTGACTTCTTTTTAATTCCACTCTCCTCTTTTGAACAGTTGGGATAACAATAGCTGCCTCTTGCCTGATATTCCCCTGGTGCACACCATAGTCCTAAGTGAGTTAGTGCTGAGCTTTTCCATTTCCCCGCACCTGCTCGAAATAGAAACCACACTGACAAGAAGTTGAGATATGGCGCCTAAATCTAGGACCTATTTGCATTGACGGTTGTAAACTGAATTCTGGAATCACAGATTTTCATATCATTTCAACCAAACCTTTACTTTAGTAGCAAAGTAACCAGGGGTCCAACAGAAAGCAAACCCTCCTGCAGTTTCACTGCAAGACTTGAAGTGAAAAGAACCTCAAAAATATGTGAGCCACAGGAGTAACACAGGACCAGAGCAGGATTGGTAGACACTTGGGGTTCCAGAAAGGCTAAAGATAGACTAAAAACAGATCCCATTCCTTGAGGAACTTACAGGTGACCCTTGGATTCCTGGTGGTCCAGCAGCTCCTGCAATTCCATCTGCCCCCTAAAAAAGACAAGGTAGAAAGCTAGTTTCTTGTGCATCTGGACAGAGGTCATTAGCACCCTCTGCTTTAAATACAAAGCAAATGATACGGTTGGTTATTTGTCCCCTTCAAATCTCACGTTGAAATGTGGTTCCCAACATTGTAGGTGGGTCCTGGTGGGAGGTGATTGAATCATGGGGACAGATCTCTCACGAATGCTTTAGCACAATCCCCTTGGTGACAAGTGAGCTCCCACTCAGTTCATGCAAGATCTGGTTGTTTAAAAGTCTAGGACTTCCCCACCCTTACTCTCTTGCTCCTGCTCTTGCCATGTGACACAACTGGCCTTCCTCTATGATGGGAAGTTCCCTGTGGTCTCATCAGAAGTCAACCAGATGCTGATACCATGTTTGTACAATCTACAGAACTGAGCCAATAAACCTCTTTTCTTTATAAATGATTCAACCTCAGGTATTTCCTTGTAGCAATGTAAAAACAGCCTAATATAGCAACATGCAGATCTTACATTCTGTGCCCCTTCCTAGCTTCCTGAACCATAAATATTTCAAACATGCTTCTGCCTCTTCATCAGGCTGAGCTATTCTCTAGGAATACAAGATGTTGGGAGAACAGCATCCACATTTTAGGAAGGGCCAATGCATTAGCCAGGCAGTTACCCCTTTGAAAACAGTAAATGAACTCACTTCAGGATGGGCATTTTCAGCTAGTATCCAGTAACATTTCAGGACAAAAAGCAATACATGGACAACTAGATTTATCTTCCAGGAGATTAGGAAGGCAATTGCTGTGTCAACTCAAGGGTGAAGAGATGCACAGATGGATGAATGGAAGAAGACTTCTATGCAGCTGAGCAAGCAGCTCAAAGTGAGCTCCAGGCACGCTTTTGCTGGGGGCTCTTGCATATGCTGTTTCTTCCCCCCATATTCTAGTCCCCCACATATGCACAGGCCTCATACCCTCCCATCCTGCAGGTCTTAGCTTAAATATCAGCTTCTCAGTGAAAGGTTTTCTGCCTACCAGACCCCAAATTGAAAGACTTACCCTTCATCATCCCTGTCCTTTTCTGTCTACCTTCCTCCACAGCACCTGCAAACATCTGACATGCTAGTGTTTATTTATTTCTTATTTATTTATTGTCTATCTCCTTCCACACACCTCCTACTTCATGAGGTCAAGAACTTCCATTTTATTTCCTTCCTCATTGGAACTAAAACGGTACCTGGGATATAGTAAATATCCAATATTCTTGAATAAATGAATGAATTAGAAGTCGAACTAACTGGGCTATAAAGGTAGCAGTTCTTTAGACAAATTCACACCTATGCCTCTTACTAGCTTTGGTTGAGTCATGTAACATCTCTAAGCTTTAGTTTCCTTAACAGTGAAAGGCTGGAAACTGCACATGCCATTAGGAAGGGGAGGAGTAATGAGGCAATGCTTACAAGGTGCTAGGCTTAGAAGAGAGGGTATTGGTCAGAGTGTAGCCTCTTACAGTCAGAGTTCCTAAGCCGATATCCCATTTCTCCACTGAACAGCTGTATAAGCTTAGGAAAGTTACCTGACCCCTCTGTGCTTCAGTTCCTTTGTAAAATGAAGGAAAAGAACAGCGCCTATTTTATGTGGGTTGCTGAGAAAATGGAATTCATGACACATAAGGAGTTAGCACCAGAGAAAAGCTAAGGGCTGTCCAATAGGGAACTTCCATGAATAGAAGTGCCTATTGTCCACCCCAAGACAAGGAATCCTGCAGATATTAACTAAATATAAAAGCCTAAACAAGCAAGTTCCCACAGTACTCTATTGATGTCTTTCCAGTAGCCTGTATTTAATCGTTGCATACTTTTATCGAGTGCCTAAATTGTACTAGGTACGAGCCACATGTTAGAGATACAAAAATGACTACATCATGGTCTTGGACCTCCAGGAAATTTGAGATAGCTGTAGAAGATCTGTCTTATTTTCTATGTATGACAAACTTCTAGGGCAGGATGCAGTTGGATGTGTCTCTATCGCTTCTACTAGGTAGGGACCCAGTAAATGTTCATGAAATAAAGGGATAGTGATAATATTTTAACAAGTAGCCTAAGGTTCATGCTTTAATTAAATATCTAGTCCAAAGCTAATATAACAAAACTAAATTTTTCTACATAACTTTGATAAAAACCTTCTGGCAGCCTAGAGTCTGGAATCTTGCCAAGTTGGAACAAAACTTCCTCCTGCATATGGGGATGGGGTAAGGGTTTTATCTGGAATAAGGATGCTGACTGAGCACCAGAAAATAAACACCAAAAGAAAGAGCTTTGTCAGCTCGCTACCCATATCCCTGTGTATTTCCAACAGGGCCTGACAATTAATAAGCACTTGAAAACAAGCAACAACAAAGAGTAGAACTAAAACAATGCCTCCATGACCAGAAAGGCTAATTTCCTGCTGTGGAGTTGCTTCTGCATGACTGGCTGCTGAACCTAAACAGGCAGCTGCCTCAGCATCCATTCCCACAGTCTATTAACAGTACAAGGCACAACACAAAATAGAAGCTCAATAAACATCTGCCAAGTGAACTGAAAGCATTAATCAGCTGGAGACAGACAAGCTGGCTTCTGATTATGATTGTTTCTGGGCCTCCAATACATCATCTAGCATGAGAATAATAAGCCAGGCGTCATTTCCTACAGTAGTCGTAGAGTTCTAACTTACTGCAGCTTCCAGTGAGAAGAGATCAGGGTTTTGGTTTCACTGGGAACATGTTATAGGGTTTGGAACTACCAGGGTGGAGTGGGCATGAGGCTGTAATCCATTATTCATTTGCTGAGATCCGCAGCTGTTAAGGTGTACAATGTCATTAAGGAAGCTAATGTCATCATAATATAAAATTATTCATGAATAAACTATTTTTAAGTAAAATTAGTTGCCTCTCAAATGCCCCTCTTTGCTTAACACTAACACCTCTCCCAACTACCGATTGTATCAGCATCATTATCAGTTTCTCTTTTTGCTGATTGTCAGATGCTACAAAATCCAATAATACGCAAATACAGTGCAAAGAAATTACTAAGTGAAATTATAAACCTTGAAAGAATTGTAGAATTTTGTGAAGTTAAATGATAGCAAACTGATAAATTCCCTACAATATTCTTCACAAATGTGCACATGGCAGAGTTGGGCCAGGTAAGATGTGAGGCTGATAAATTAAAAATAATATTAACATCAAAGGCACATGGGAGGAAAATGTGTTGAATATTAAAGACTTAAAGTAGGCTTTCTGGGAAACTGAATAGTGCTTTTGTAGATAATTTACCTTTTTGTGAGTTTGCTCTAAAAGTCAACATGAAGTGAAAGATACCATGTCATGCTTTCATCTGATTTTATTGAAAATATACACTTAAAACAACGTAATTTATTCTCCTAATTAACACACAGTTACAACTAGAAGTCGAGTTGTTTAAAAAGAAGACAAAGCAAGCTTAATTTCATATATTTTAAATTTATACTCCTAACTGAACCTCTTCTCACTATACTTTTGAACAGGGTATTTCCTATTTGAAGGGGATTCCTTTTCAGTGGTCTTCCAGTCATTCCAGAAATCCTCTCCTTGCAAGGTCTGGGACAAGGGTCTTGTGCAGAACCCATGGGAAATCCCAGGGGACTGATCCTGGGCTTGGCAGGAATACTAATTTCCCGTACCTGTTGCCATGGCTACCCATGATGGATATGTGGGCTGCAACAGCAGTGGACTCTGATCAGAGGAGGAACATGACTAATCTATGGGCAGCCTACACTGAAGGGAGAGGGAAATGCTGAGAAGGGCACCAGTCAATGTCTAGGCTACAGCTACTGTAAGAGCAGAGAGAACATCTGCTCAGGGGGACCAGTGGAGATCATTGAGATAATACCAAGACAGGTTCCCTATAACATGGGGAAAGCTGCTTACGATTTCTCATTTTCTACCTTCTTTGCTTGACATGATAACCTTGAAATACTGGCTTCCTACCCACCCAAGCTCAATTTGAGAAAAGAAGAAGCAAGTCTGTCTGTTTTGCCAATGTCCCCCAATCCTGACATCACTCTAATTACATGGTCCCTCAAGCCTACTCTAGACCCTCTACACTTTCCCCCACACGCCTATGGGACTTGCATTTTTAGGTCATCTCTGTCACCTTTTGGGTATTGGTCCATCCCTTAAAATGAGAGACATGTTCAGTGTCATATCATACCTGGTGAGTACAGATGTGCATTCAAATGTCAAGGCCAAAAGAGGAGGGGATTAAAAATGATTACTTACTGGTGGCCCAGGGTTCCCTGGGGGCCCCATGAAACCCGGAACTCCAGGATGACCCTAGGAAAATAAAAGATGCAATTCTTTAAAATGACTCTAAAAAATACTTTTTACTTTGTGCAAATATCAAATTTCAGGAAACAATCCAGAATCCACCTTCCAACCCTACAAACAATTTTGATTAAAGACACTGACAATAAAAGGGACTTCTTTTTATGTATCTCAATAGTACCTGACAACATTTATAAAAACAAATATATCCTGAAAGTGGATTTGCTTCAAAATAAGGTGTGGGCAGGGGGTGTGGAGAAATGGTTGAGGATATAAATGAAAACAGGAGGGGTCATAATAATTGAAAGTGGTTGTGGTTAAGTGCAGGGTACATAAAGGCTCATTTTATTACAGTCTTTATTATTTACATATGCTTGAAGTGTTTCATAATAAAAACATAAAACACAAATAAATGCACACAAACACAATGTACACAATGGAAATGGTTAGGTTAACTGAATTACAGCCTTCATATCCCGGCAATATTACAGTTATTTTAAGCAAGAGATTTGTTTCTCCATGTGTAGAGAAGTCTATTGCATATTATAGAATAAGCTGAAAAAGTTATAGAACAAAGCTGGGAATCTAACACTTAGTCTTGTACAACAATGTTATGAAACCAAACAAACCACCAAGAAAGAAATGATTTCTCTGCCCTCCACCTCCAAGCCTTACCACTGAAACCACAGGCTACACCATTCAATGTAGAGTACATTGCCTTTAATAAGTCATTCTTATAAGAATAATCCAAACACATTTTGTTTTTCCAAATATAGAAGAGACTTTAGCCGAGGAGCTCATTCAGACTTTGAGTACAGCTCTCATCTCACTGCCTGTGGGTTACTCATTCATGTCCCTCATGCCCTCACTGAACTGCAAGCCCAGTGAGGTCAGGAGTCTGTCCGCGAGTCATTCCAGATCTCAGAGCCAGGTGCAGTACCTGGCATGGAATTGGCTGACAATGAGCACTGGCTGTGAGATGCAGAAGAGAGGGAGAAGTAAAGGGGAGGGCAGTTGGGAGAGGAGAGAAAAGAGAACAGGGAAAAGGATGACAGCAGCAAAGCTGGTAGAATTGTACTGGGCAGAAATCAGCTGGTTGCACTGGATAGAGGACGATAGGGAGGACATGCTCAGATCCACAGAGAGAGCAGCGAGCCCTCATTGGTACCATCCTATAGCACGTTAGGAGCAGTGGTCCAGCAGGACTGGATATGCACTGACCAGAGCATGGAGTGTCTGTGAAGCATTTCAGCTAGCACCAAGAGAGCAAGGTAACAGTAACTTGAGATGATGGGAGGGAAGAAGGGGGTATTTTGTAATGAATGACCATTTCAGTGGGAAAAAAAAAAAAAAGTAAAGGTAAAATAGTACAAAAAGAAAGAAATGAAAAAGGAAAAGGAAAGAAAAGGAAGGAAGAAACAAAAGGAAAGGAAAGGAAAAGAAAGGAAAGGAAAGGGGAAAAGAAAGGAAAGGAAAGGGGAAAAGAAAGGAAAGGAAAGGAAAGGGGAACGGGAACGAAGGAAGGAAGGAAGGAAGGAAGGAAGGAAGGAAGGAAGGAAGGAAGGAAGGAAGGAAAGGAGGGAGGAAGGGTGGGCAGGCAGTCTTCTCTGGGAGAGAGAAGGGAGAGAAGGCACTTACAGTGAACCAGAGATACCAAGATGAAAACCATAAAAATTAGATTTTTAAAAATCCTGCTACAGGCAAAGAAGAGACAAGGAATGACATTATACAATGGAAGCCACCTCGGAGAAACAGTGCTCCTTCTCAGGGTGAATGGTTCCTTATAAAGTGAATTTTTACCTGATCACCTTTCTGTCCAACCTCACCATCTGTACCACGTTCTCCTTGACTTCCCTTGAAAGGAAAAACAGAAAGGAAAGATGTCACTGGAAACTTTAACAGAGAAACAAAAAGCATTTTCATGCATTCATTCATTCATTCATTCCGCAAAAACCTCTTATCAAGTTCTTGTGGTAGCTCAGACACGGTGGCAGCAGATAGATAGAAACAGGGCCTTGTTGAGGATGTGTGATAAAATGGCTTAACTGGGATTTGGAGTACGGGGTTGGAGAGGGGGCAGTAGGAAATGGGGCTGGGGAGGCAGGCAGGGTTCATTTCTTTGAGAGCTTTGCATGTCAACATCTGATGTTAGATTTAATTGTAGGCACTGGAAACCATTAAAAGGATGAGTAGTTGTCCTAGGTTCTAGCTGTGGGTGTAGTGTGGGATAGGCTAGTGGTTCAGGCTATAGAGAAAAGGGTCGGTTAAAAAAAAAGTGGTGTTCCAGGTGTGGCAGGAAAAGAGGCAGAAAAAAACCAGAGTCTGCAGGCCTTGCAGAATAGGTATGAGGGTGAGGGAGAAGCAGAAGTTTAGATGGTGGCAGGAGGAGCAGCAGCACCACACAGGAAGCTTTGGAAGAATTTATCCACACATAAGTTTCTTGCTCCCTCCCTTACTAGCTGTGAGACTTTGAGGAGCCACTTCACTAAAATTGCTCAAGTTGTTTGTTTGTTTTGTAACCTGCAAGAACAAGAAAATAATGATGCCTACCCCATGAAATGTTAGAGAATAAAATAATAAATGGGAAACACTTAGCATAGAGCCCAGAACACAGTAAGAGCTCAATAAATCTTAGGTATAATTATTATCTTTATTATTTTGCCACTTGCTAACTGTGTGTCATTGGACAAGACAATTAAACTCTCTATCTGCTTCGAGAATCATAAAATAATCTTTGTCATGTGGTTGCTATGAGAGTTAAATGACCTACAATAGACAAAGTGCTTAGACTTATAACAGGTTGTGTGTTAGCTCTCAATAAACATTAGCTATTATCACTCTCTTTGTCATTATCACCATGATGATCATCATGATCATTATCATCACCATCACCATCGTTATTATTCCATAACCATCATCACCATAATCACGATCATAATCACGATCACCATCAACATCAGCACGACCAGAGCAATTATCATCACTGTCACCATCACCATCATCATCCTCATCTTCACCATCATCATCATTGTCTACATCATAATGATCAACAACACCACAACTATGGTCATCATCACCATCATCCTCATCCTCATTGTCATCATTATTGCCATTGTCATCATCATGATGGTCATCAAGATGCTCAAAATATACAACCTACCAAAAATACTTTTTACAGACCACCCATGAAAGTAACAGCCAAAGGTTCCAATCCTTTAACTATTATCTACCCTAGCTCTACCTTTGTTAACGAGTGTGTTTCTGTAAAATGTTTTTAAACAAAAGCATTTCAATTCCTTTAAAAGAATGCATTATGTAGTAAACAGGTTTGTGGCAGCAGGTCAATCTTAGCTGTGGTTCTATGCCTGTCTCCCCTTATCTTTGCATTCTTAAACATATAATGTTCCCTCTCTGGTCTCAGTTTGTTCATCTAGTAAATAAAGGAGGAAGGGCGGGTCCCTCTAGGAGGGTCCTTCCAGGGGTCCAGTGCCCCCAAATTCTCTCATGGAAACATCAAGTCCAGCTCTCTTTCAATCCAGACTGTTCTACCACCTCAGCAGACCACTGACGACAGTGACTACACAATAATCACCCCTCTCTTCCTGTGATATATTAGGAGGGTTAGGCGAGCTCATATCTGTGAAGTGGTAAATACTATTGTTTAGAAGAGAAAAAAATGGAGTCAGAGAGAAAGAGCATTTCTTCTGACATTTTTCTATGTAATTATTTTTACTGTTTCTAAATCTAAATAAAGGCAGCACACCGTCTGCAGACCATGTTGTACTCAATGAAAAGAAGTGACATAGAATAGCCCACTGCTTCCTTAACATTTAGGACAATTACCTTAAAAGTAAATGGCTTCCTTTCAAATTCCAGTCCTCAGTCTGGGTTTAGAATACTTTCAACACTCATGTAGCAACACTGAAAATGTCAGCAGCTCAAGGATCTCCACAGTTGTCCCTGTCTCCTACTCCAACGTAGTCAGGGATCAAAGCAAACACACCCACCCCCAAGCCTGACTCACTTCCTTCCAGAGAAGGGGGCTGACATTTACAGAGCCCCGACTCTTCCAGGAACTCTGCCAAGGCTTCCCACATGATATCCCATTACATATATTTCCTTGTTTATATCCTGAACTGATGCAAAAATATTTAATACGTCTTTATTCTCTTATTGAGCCAGTAAGTCTACTCTATGAGGTAGGGCTTATTATCAGAGTGTTAGATAATAAATCTGAAGTCCAGCCCAGTTCAGTCACTCACCTGAGCTCACAAAGCTTATAGAAAGCAAGGTCTGGAATCTAATCCAGATCCATTTGTCTGATGATCAAATATCCAAGCTGGCTTTCTCTGCCCGTATTACTTTTCCGGCTATTTTCCTAGACCATGATGCCTTGTCCAACTAGTTTCAAAACGTCAAGTGCACTGGATTTATAGTCAGAAAGACTGAGTGACCATGCTGAGCATGGGTCAGATACCTTTCTATACACTGGAGATATAACAATCAACAAAACAGATAAAAACCCTGTCCACTGGGAATTCATATTCCAGGGAGATTACCAGTTCATCATTTTGTTAGTTTAGTCCTCTTCAGAAGAGGTTTATTAAAGAGCCATTCCCAGGGCTTAATTCCCCCAGTTGAAAATAAGGAAAGAAACTTTGCCCCACTCTGTTTACTGAAAACACTTACTTTAGAAAACTTGTTATTGTGAGTTTTTTGGGTTTTTTTTTTGTTGGTGGGGGGTCTCTTTGAAAGGTATGTAAATACTTTTAAAAGCTAAATGAGACTTTTGCTAGCTTTGTGACCCAGGAAGCCGGGAATGTCTTTCTCAAGGACCTAGGAACCATCTCTTTGAAATAGAATCAACAAAGAAGATAGCATTCCTATCTATCTCCCAGTTCCTGTCAAACAGTAGAAGACCAACTTCAGCAGATGACCGGCTCCAAGTTGCAAATCCATTTCCTGCCCTGAAGATGTGAGAAGTTTACCTTTGCTTTGAATAAGGTCAATTAGTTAACACAGACACACAGACAGCCACCGCAATTACCAGGTGAATCTAGGAAGAACATGTGGTACCATTAAATCTTCTCACTTGAGGACTAGTTATTGCTTATCTTGAGAACGTGTACGTGATAGGTGGCTGTATCAGCTTGGCTATCTAAAAGAGTAGATTTCTTTCTGTCTTTGCAGTCTCTTAGCATATTGTCTGTAATGCAAATCACATTCTGGTTTAATGCTATTCAAAAATAAAATTGTTTTCTTTCTCTTCTACCTTCATGGAAAACCTCTCTGAGTTAGGAGAAGATTTTGTTTTTAATTACATTTTTCCAGCACCATCATGTGCTAAGCACATGATAAAACAATCATTTGGAAGGTACATTCATACCAGTAATTGCTCTAAGAGTGCTGTCCTTCATGAATACACTGAACAGGCGATTTTCTCAAAAGGTTTTCAAACTGTTGAGGGCAGGGACTAAACTTTCCCCGGTTAGTAACTCTCTACTACTCTCAGAACAAACCCTTCTCCTAAACTTTCATGTGCTGTTGTCCTGCTTGGAAAAACTTTCTCCATCGATAGCTGGTAACTTCCTGACTAACCCTCCAATGCAACTAAAACCCTGCCTCCTCCAAGTGACAATTAAAATCCTACCTCCTCCAGGTGACAACTAAAATCCTACCTCCTCCAGGTGACAATTAAAATCCTACCTCCTCCAGGTGGCCTTCACAGGTTACCCCTTGTTCCATGGTGTTAGTTTTCTTTCAGTTGTTTACTCTTCTTCTGACAATTTGTTGTGGTTGTTGTTAACTCAAATGAAGCAAGTATTATAAGGACCACTTGCAGCTACATGTATTAAATGCTTCCTACCTGCTGTGATTTGAAAATTCCCCTTCTTCAGTTCTCACATTCTCATTCTGAGACAGGTTGTACAGTTCTTTTTCAGATGAGGGACACAAGGTACTGATGAGGGACCCAAGGTTCAGATAAATAAATGCCCAAGTCCTATAATTAGCAAGGAAAATTCACTTAACTAGTAAGAGGCATAGCGGGTTGGGGACCACTGGCTTCCAGATCCCAGGCCTGTGTCCACGGCCCTTTTTGGCTTCCTGCCTCCATCATACATTCCTAAGTGTTCGCTGCAAGCTTGTGGGTCTTTCTTCTCTGTCACAGAATCAGGCTATGGAAGGAATGGCCCATATCTGACCTCTCTATATACCTCCTGACTTGAAAGGAAACTGTTAAGGTGATGCTTGGTGAGAATCTTTCAGAATTGTGGCAGTTATGTATGGAAAGAATTTTCTGCTGTGGGAAAGAACATGGAGTAAGTGGCTCCAGGTTATTTTCTGGGCAGGATGGGAATCCCAAGCCTTTTTCAGGTAGTGCCAATGGCAGCAGGTATTATCTCTGCCTCCTCGGAGTCATCCATACCCTCCAAATGAGGACTTTTGCTCATTGGGTGTCTCTGGGTCCACGACAGGCCCCCTTTAGGTCCTACTACTGGTTGGTAACATGCGATGAGAAAGAAATAAAAACGCTTTTTGTAGGGGACAGAATAGTCATCATTTCCAACCCAGACAAGGCATTTACATCTGACTCTGTAGAATACACGCTCCCAGGGTCATTGCTGTGGTTACCATCTTGTTGCTTCTTTCTCCTTTACACGGATCATAATCACAACTGCAGCAACAATCTCCAGACCCTGTATCTTAAAGTCAGTGTTTTATGCGAGTTCATAGTACTAGAATGGAGCTCTGTAGTTGACCATGTGGCATGAACCTCCTCATGCTGGCCACTGAAGAGAGCAGCTGCAAATCTGTAAGATAAATCTTGGGGAAGCTGCTTCCCTGATGCTGTG